TTGCTGTGAGACCATACCTCTGAGGACATCCAGAAAACTGCAACTCCTGGTAGTAGATGACTCAAACTACTTACATAAATTCATGATATATCACTATAACAAGTAATAGTGCTGCAAAAGCATGTAACAATTACAGACACTGTCAAACAACCAGCTTACAGAGATTCTCTAGCATTTACTGATGTCCTGTATCAATGCATTCACAGTGCCCTCTAGCCTATGTGTTACTGTACTACAATATCCAATCTTTGAGCTCTGAAACTAAAAACAAATGTTGTGATCACCAGGGAAAAGATGGAATATCAGCTTTAAAACAAGAGCTACATCAAGATACATGCACCTACAGTATAGGAAAATATATATATCGTATCCTTCCACCTGTACCTTCTGTCTAGAAGGTCATTTCAATTTTTCAGACAAACTATATGTGTAATGCTATGCTTACATCATCATATGATATGCATTAAGCTCCTAGAGCGGAGACAGTGACCATAAAAACCAAGGCCACCATAGGGGAGGCCCATTTATCATAACATTATTGACTGGTTTGAAAAAGCTTTTGATTTGATTAGTTTTCTCTGTGGTGTCCATTAATCAATCCATGCAGAAATATTTGGCAAACAAGACATCTTTTGAAACAGATCCAACATTTTAGATTGGAGTATGCCTCCAAACTACCAGACCTCAGCTTAAGTGTCTGATTTTACAATGTCGGAATAACAGCTGAATGAAGCTGACTGCATATCTATACATGTTACATTGCCTAAAACCTTTAAACATTCAACACTATGTCTTGAACTTTAATAATGTTTTAAAGGCAATAATACAAACAATAATGTAAGATCCCCTTGATTCTGTTTGAGGTTTTGTATTTCTTAGGTCTTGTAACTATTCATCCAGATTAACATTGCTTGGATATTGGAAGTGTATAATATTTCAAAGAATAATCCTATTTCTTTAAGTTTATCATACAAGACAATCTCTTGAATTCTGAATTTATATATCATATAAACAATGAAAAGAACAATACATCCAGATGTGTGTGTGTCCAGTCTGCCTGGTATAAAACAAACTAACAGTGAACAATGTTAGGGACCGTTCATAATTTATATGTGTGTGTGTGTGTGTGTGTGTGTGTGTGTGTGTGTGTGTGTGTGTGTGTGTGTGATATGATGATTTTCATGGAAAGGCATGTACAATGTGAATGACCCGCCCTAAAATTTATGTACAAAATATGCGAACCCCCCTTGCATGTCATGTATAAAATCAATGACTCCCCCACCAAATTTATAATCATATTTTTTTCTTATTTTGTGTATATAAAATTGGTGACCCCCTAGTACATGTGTACAAAATTAGTGCCCCCCACACACACTACCTCTCCAGAACAAAAATGAGTGACCCCCTTAAAATCATCATCCCCTAAAAAAAAAAGAAAAAAAACCATAAATTATAAAGGGTCCCTAATTACTGGAGGTAATTAAGAATTTTTTTTACTTTTTACTGAATTGGAAATAGGACCCCACCTGAACACATGCAACTGTACTTGGCCTCCTTGTAAAGTAAGGATAATGCAGAGTGGTTGTTAAATAATTTATGTGACAATTCAGTATAATTCATTATTAACACTAATCATAACCAGATGGTAGATGTTCAGCAAGCAGATCCTATTTGGCACCAGGCAGAAGTGCATTTGTCAAGACAGAGGATTTTTATACGTTGGGCAATCTAATGTGTATAAGTACTAAGTAGTATAACTTAATTTTCAGACAGCCTCCCTTCCAGTCAGGAATAGCACTAACCTTTTTACGAACACCTGGGCCTAGATTTTCGAAGCTCTCTTAGTGCTAAGATAGTCGTAAGTTAATGTACATGTATGGCACTTACGACTATCTTAGTGCTAAGAGAGCTTCGAAAATCTGGACCCTGGTATCATCACCATTTGACCACTTAAAATTGATATTCATTTATGAACACATGCTCATAACATAGTTTGGATTTGTACAATTCTCTGCTTTTGGAAGAGATTTCTTATGAACATGGAACAGGTACTGGCCTTTGGGTTTTATTATCATTGAGTCCACTGTTAGCCATTGATTTGTCTGTATAAATTACTTGTGGAGGTGGATATCTCATCTGAACACTATTATACTACAGTGGAAACTCACTCATACAAACATACACAGAAGCACTTTAGAAAAAGTTGCATGAAACCGTCATGTATATTCAAATCAAGGCACACTTCTGCTGCTTATATAATATCCATGAGTTTCTATTTTAATAAATTCTTAACTGCTTTACAATAATTACTTCTAGATCGATGCAGAAATTGAAACATTTCAAAGTGCTAGCACTCATTATTGAAATACAGATGACCTCAGGACATATGATAAAGACATGAATGAATGTGTTAATTGGATCTTGTTTTTTTCTAAAAGGGTCTGGAACTCTTTATCGATTGCAGTCTTTTTCCCCGCTGCTCCCAACTTCCTCATTACCATATTTCACACTGCCTATTTACGTCTAAATCTGTTTGTGACCCATTCTAATATAGGGCAGTAGATATTTCATTTCCATTATTCAAGAATATTTTCAATTTTTGTCTTTGCAATATGATTTCATGGTTACTGGATTTTCTAAGATATGATCAGACAAGTTAACTCAAACTGACCGCCTCCGTGGTGTAGTGGTTAGAGCGTCCGCCCAGAGAGCGGAAGGTAGCGGGTTCGATCCCCGACCGTGTCATACCAAAAGACATTAAAATATGGTACTTGTTGGTCCCTGCCTGGCGCTCGGCATTAATGGGTACAACAAGGACTGGTCGGCTCGGAGTCAGTATAATGTGTCTGAGTGGGGTACTCATGCTTCACTGTGGCATGGTATCTCAGTGGGCTAGCACTATAAAACCAGCTTCAGTCTGGGCTCGTACAAGCAGCCGCACATACACATGCACACGCATGCACGTCGTCCTATGAGCGAAATATTCTCAAGCACGACGTAAAACCCAATTTCGCCTCACCTAACTCAAAACTGCTATACTCTTGTTCTTAAAGCCATAATCAACATCTCAATTGTTTGCTACAAACTACGCATACAAAATACAACTCAACTTGCAACAATTAACGTGCAACTTGATATGTGGTCAATTTTGAAATCCCTACTAATGATAATAAACTTGATACAATGACTTAAAGAGGAATTAACAAAAACAATGTATGTGAGTGAGTGAGTGAGTGTTTGTTTTCTAGGCTAGATATTCTGCTTAAAGTGCACAATCTGATCACTATTACCCTGGATAACCCAAACTGCCTGTTAGACACTAGAAGGTTAATAGTCTCACGACTCATTTCACAGGGTACCCATTTTTTTCTGCTGAATGAACAGAGGCAATTTTAAACAAATTCACTTGCCTAAGGTGAGACCACATGCATCACATGTGCTTCGTTGTGGGGCAGCACTGAAGTCCTAAAAACTCTCAGAAGTCAAGCTGTCACACATGGTCACCCGTCCAAGGACTCTCTGTGCCCAACATTGCTTAACTTCAACTGATTGTGACCTGAGCTCTATGCACAGGACCAAACACCACCACATGTATGTATGTATGTGTGTATGTGAGTGAGTGAGTGTGTGGGTGGATGGATGGATGGGAATGCTAATTTTTAATTACAGTCTCTACAGTTATCAATATAATCACAGTCAAGGAATGATGACATACTCCCTGATTAATAATTTGGTCCTGTGCTTGATCTGATCCTATGGAAGTTATCCAAACCACTGTGCCATAATCTTATCAATTATTCATTGCTGCCTCAACAGCAATTCATAATGAAATAGAATTCATCATTATGTCTCAATTTGATGCCATTATTTGGTATTTTATTAAGTTGGTGATGAATAATTTAATTCATCTGAGAACAGGACTTCTCTGCTGAAGTCACGTCCACTCATGAAAAAAACACTTGTTATTCTCAAAAAGACAGTTCAATCTAATGACCCTGTTTCAGATTCCAAACTTTAATCACTGGAATTATAGATAAAAACTATTATTGTATTAATAGAACCATGACTTTTTCATCTGTTCACAACAATTTTGCAGTTGCCTTCAGCCAGCATAATATTGCTGATTAACATACAAACATTTACATTTAGGAATTATTGAATTAAGTTATTCTACACCAGAAGTGTTTTCAGGTAAGAACATCTCCAAGAGAGTCCCTGGTTTGGTTCACCTCAAGACATCGTGCCCCATGTGTCAACCAAGTCGGCGAGCCTGACCACCCCATCCTGTTAGTTGCCTTTTACAACAAGCATGGGTTACTGGAGACCAATTCTAACCTGGATCTTCACGGGTATCTAGTCAACATGAAAGTGGACATACAAACTATCGCATCCTCTAACCATGCTAATGTCCAGTCTGAGCAATATCTCCAGATGACCAATCATTTCCTCAACAGAACAAACATGTCCCCTTGGAGACTGACCATGATATATAATTAGGGAGTGATATTGTTACATGGCTTAAACCCCATTTCAAATACATACATGTTTTCATAATCCTCCACTACATATAGTTGGGGGACTCCCTCTCATTTGTGCTTGTATGTTTTCATGACCCTTCTTCCATCCACTCTCAATTTCACATCTGTATGATATAAATGTCCACTCCCTACACCATTAGCCAAGTGAACATATATAAACGGTCTCTAGAAGGCACAAACCTCATGATCTAACAATCTTATCACTGTGAAACATCAGACATTGAAGTTTTTTTCCACATTTCAGAAGAATTCCTGCTTAGAGAAAAAGCTGCTTACATGTGTACAAATTGATCAGAGTGGCTAAGTCTTCCCAAGGCCCATAAGGGCTTCTCCTAACAGGACACAGACAGTATGTTAATCCATCTGCCTGCATCAGATGAGTCACCAGTCATCTTGTCATTTGCTTACCCAAGGGTATTGTGTACGTGACATGAGTTTTTTCCTGGTGACGACAGCTCTCACCTTTCATTATCTTCCTCCACAAGCCGCACATCGCCTTTTATAGTAATCCTGGAATTCCCTTCCTTGGCTAGGTCAAGTATCCTCATACTATTCAGGACAAGACCTGGAGAACAAACAGTGCACCATGATAAGTATGGGACATGCAATAAAGTCGGGTGACAGTGGTACACAAGTCATTTACACTGAAGATGATGCATGCATCAAAAGATTGGTTGGTTTGATGTTTAACGCCCCACTCAGCAATATTCCAGCTATATGGCGGCAGTCTGTAAATAATCTAGTCTGGACCAGACAATCAAGTGATCAACAGCATGAGAATCGATCTATACAATTGGGATACGATGACATGTGTCAACCATGTCAGCGAGTCTGGCATCAAAAGGCATCGCTTCTGTCGACTAATCCATTTTGAAGATATAACATTGCTTAAACCAAGATCGCGGAATTTACTGATGCTGAACCACAGTATACTTCATCTATAATGAGTTGAATGTTGTTTTATGCCACTGTCCACAGTATTACAGCTACTTCTTGGTAGTATGGCAAGGTACCAGTATACTGACCCTAGCAGCTCCTTGCTATGGATCCGAGATATCCAGACATTACCAATAGCCAGGTATGGACAAGCAGAAAGATCAAGTAACAGGATGTGAGGAAGTGAAATTTACACTCCTTGTGCAAATGAAGAAGATTTCAGAAGAACATGATGGTGCTGATTGGATTACACATCATGTATCATATCATTTCTCGGATCCAGAGAGTCAGTTCTCACAGAGAGTATTAGAGAAACACACTTGACTCTGATCTATACTGTTTCCATGGAGATAATTATCCAGCTTCAAGAGTTTGATTTTACTTACAAGGAAACTGCAATTTTCTAATTAGAACACATTATTGTATTGGCAAATGACACGATAATGAGAAAAGATATGAGTTCTGTAGGAATAAAGCAACGCTCTTTAACAGTCTTTTTTTAAAGATCATCTGACAACAGATAAGAGACTCTGACCTAACGATTAATGGACTATCTTTTCCAATTTGTCTTCCTTTCCCTAACCTTCAAGGTGTGCAAACGCCACAACTTTAAGTGATAGTGCATGTGGTGTTACTGGGACACTTACAGATGGTTAAGCAGTGCAGTCTCATCCTCAATTTGATACACAGAGTTTCATTAGAAAGAATAATAAACATGGATACAGTTTTGGGGAACAGTGGAATGCAATTGGCTACCACAAATATGCAAATCTTAAATGATTGCCCATAATCTTTTTCGGTTGAGACAAAACTTATCTCAAAGTGACTTAGTGATGGTACTGTTTGACACATTTAACCTCATTATACACTTTTATCTATGAAGGGGCGGTGGGGGAGCCCAGTGGTTTAAAATGATCGCTTGTCATGCCGAAGACCCAGGTTTAATTCCCCACATGGGTACAATGTGTGAAGCCCATTTCTGTTGTCCCCCGCCATGCTATTGGTGAAATATGGCTAAAAGCAGCTTAAAACCCAACTCATTCACTCACTCATCTATGACACTTCCTTATGCATAAATGCTTAGAATCATCCAAACAGGGTGGGTAAACTAAACACAAAGGTGCATGTATGCACACACATAAACACTGCATATGAAGAATCACATATCACTTGGTATACACCGACATAAATGTTTTGATGTAATGCCCTGCCACAGACACACAACACAGAGACATGCAGCACACAACACACATAGACACACACACACACACACAACACACAGACATGGAGACACACAACACACAGAGACACAGAACACACAGAGACAGTGACACACAACACACACACAGACAACAAACAGAGACACCCACCACACAACACAGAGACACACACGACACACAGAGATACACAACAGACACACAACACAGAGACACACAACACACAGAGATGCACCACACAACACACATAGACACACAACACACACAGAGACACACACCACAGAGACACCACATGACACAGAGACACACACCACACAGACACGACACACACCACAGACACACTACACAAGACACACAGAGACACACACCACAAAACATAGACACACACCACAGACACACGACACACTGAGACATACAACATACAGAGACACACACCACACAACGCACAGAGTGTGTTTAGTTTTACGCCGCACTCAGCAATATTTCAGCTATATAGAAGTTAGCATACCTGACCACCCAGTTGTAAGCTACAATGGCACCACTGTGCCAGTTTCAGGATACTATGGAACATCATGAGCATGAACATCGATCTGCGCAATTGGGATCCGATGACATATGTCAACCAAGTCAGCGAGCCTGACCACCCGATCCCGTTAGTCGCCTCTTACGACAAGCATGGGTAACTGAAGGTTCATTCTAACCCGAACCTTCACGGGTGCACACCACACACGCACGCATGCACGCACGCACACACCGCACGCACAGCAGCAGCGATTATTTGCACAAGAGGTTTTGAATTGTATAAAAGTGAAATATCATATGATTTGAACACTGGATTTCGTTTATACAATTTAGAAGTCACAAAGTACAGTATATTACTGTAGATAAGCTGATCTCATAGATAAGCCGACCCCCAAACTTGACCCTTTAAATCAGTACCAAAATGGTATGTTTCGTGCATAAACCGACACCCCCGAGATGGGGTCCTAATCATGACCACCTCAGACCACAAGACAACTGGCAGTTACCGATAATTATAACTTCATTCCACATCATTCACAGCAAATCACACTCTACTATTTTTTGCCCAGCAAAGTAAAAGAAAAATAATTCATACCAAATGTTGTAAACCTCACATCCAATTACATACAATGCACTTTGCTGACATCAATCATATGACTAGAGTAGAAAAATCTCATTTCAAATTTCACTAGACCATGGCCTTTTGAATTGCCAATGTATAAATCAATAATGTTATTCAATTTTTGCAATTTACTTCAACTGGCATCTGCCTTGCCCAATGTTATAAAAAATTCTATTGATATTTGTGGAACTTTGTTACATCACAGTTTATGGCAGTGTGAAAACTGTGCAACAGTTTGGACCTCTATCATGAGAAATAGCACAATTGGCTCATGATGAGTTTGTACTGCTTCAATGATGCAGTGGATGCTCTATGTTTCCTGACAGGCCAGGGTGATACAAAATATGTAATGGAGGTTTTTTGTCACCTTCACTATGTTGGATCATGTTCTAGCTGCAGACTGAACAAAAGTTGCCATTCTAAAGCAACAATCACTTCAAGATATGTGCAAGTATCAGCTATTCTGTAGTAATGAACTTTCTTGGAAGAGGTAACAGAGACCTCTCTAAGCCTGGCTCTGTCACAGTGCACAGAGGCTAAAAAGGAGCATATGAATCACTGTCACTTCTGTCAATTCAAAAAGTAAATGGTCATCCTCTGGGATGAAAGACAACCCATTGAGATAATCCAAATTTAATTCTATTTGCCTTGATGTTATTAATAATGTCATATCAGTTATTTCAAAATATTTTCCTGCCACTTTTTAGATCCCTTTTCTCTATCTATCTCCTGGGAAAATCAGAACAGTTGGCATTCTTTCTCACAGGATATCTCTTTCACTATAGACTCTGACATTAAGCATGATAAATCAAATGTGTCAATGCCTTATGTGTATTGATATTTTTTATCTCACAGTGCAATTAATTAGAAAGAATACTTCACTACATTAAGGATGAAGTTATATAAAATTTTGAAATTATACAGAATTTGTCAACATTTTAAAGAAAATTGTTTTAGCATTGCTACATTTTTAGCTATTTTGGATGATTGTCTTTACTGCTAACCACCAAATCAACAAAATATTTTGCCAGGTTAATACAACACATTCAGATCAATTCTTGTACTTACAAATATTAGACATTAAAATATCATTTCTTTCCCTAAATGGCGACATCATGCTATTTCAGAGTAACAACAGGTGCTTGTTTCTTGCTTTTCACTTCGTAACATGTTAGCAACACTGTAATGTTCTTATGTACATAACTTAATGTTATAAATATTGCTGAAAGTCCAGATGTTCGAAACATGAAAATTCCTGTGCGTTGTTTCAGCATTGCAATTGTCATACATTTACAAATAAACACAAAATCTTCTGTACCAGTAAGCTTTTCACTTACAAAACTTCAAACCTTTCTATCCAGATATCACCAAGAAAAATGCCTCACATATGATACGTCAAGATTATCAAAAAGGTTCCTTACATACCTTTCAGTTTTAAGTTGCATGTTCACTGTGAACTGAACAGCTCCTGGTTGATAGTTAATTTTGGTGATATTTCAGACATGTTATCAGCCACACCTAAATGTATTATTTTAATCTTCAAACATAACTGTAAACTATAGACAGATGGTTTTGTGTTACAAAGTAATTGATCCTCTGACTGGTAGCCAGTGTAGTGAATGTATAATTCAGTAAAGACAAGACCAGGTGCCGCTAACCTTTCTACAAATTGACTGAATATAGCTACAAAAATTATTTGTCAGTAATAAAGCCCCTAATACAGTATTTGAAACAACCAAAGTGTCATGTCATGGATCACGCCGAAGACCCGGGTTCGAATCCCCACATGGGTACAATGAATGAAGCCCATTTCTGGTGTCCCCCGCCGTGATATTGCTGGAATATTGCTAAAAGTGGCGTAAAACCAAACTCAGTCAGTCAGTCAGTCATGTCATGGATATTTCTAGCATATTGATCAGCATGACATGCCAATATCTGAAAACTGTATAGAACTAAGAGAAAGCATGTATCCCACTTCTCTCTATGAACCAGACTCAAGTCCCTGTCATCAAGTATACTTGGAAGGAATCAATATATTTTACATTCAACTATCTTGATTTGACCTTGTTGTCGGAACTGAAGGACACTTGTGTTCTGTAATTTCCTTCAACTGAATCGTGTAACAAGAGTAGCAAGTAGGTCAATGAGGATTTGTGAATGAATCTAACTGATTTTATCAATATCGGTTTAATCATGTTGATTTGTGGCCCATTTCCTGGACTGAAAAATTGTACAAGTTTTGAGCATACCACGACCTAAAATATGAGGCGATAGGGTGTATGTGTTCAGTTTATAATTCTTTTCTTTGTGTTTAAACTAAACCTTTCCTAAATAATCAGAGTTGAGAATAATCACAGAACGGCAGTAACAATAACAGATTAAACAACCCGGGATGTAAAGGTTATACTTGAGCCCGTAAGAGCGAGGATTTATCAGTGAATTTCAAACCAAGTGCCCTTGGCAGGTAAAGTGAGAAAAACTTATTTTGTGCAAAATTGGGATTTCATAAAAGTCAATATCAATAATTAATGTGGTATTTCAATGTTGCGTTTAATACAAAAATTCCTCTTCCTCTGGTCCTCGTGAAATATGAGTCGGCTCCACAAAGCCATATATTTGGTATAACTATATTAACTAAATTGGGAACTTCTTTTATTACACTTTAAGGTATCTTTACTGACATTTGCTTCAGACTTGGGGTCAAATATCAGCCCGAGAGCAGGTGTATAGTTACATCCCCGAAGAAAACAGTATTGTTAGGTCGCATATTGTTACAAAATGATACACATATACATTGTAAATGTGACATATGTATGTAGCTTGTTTAAGAGGTCTCAAGCTACTGTTCTATATATCAATCTGGACACTAAACTACTAAATATGTCTTAGCTTAGTTTTTATTCATTCCTGCAGTTAAGGATCCTTTACAAGATGTTAAATTGTGCCAGTTCCTAGCTACAATGTTACCGCTGTGCCAGTTCCTAGCTACAATGGCACCTCTGTGCCAGTGCCAGTTCCTAGCTACAATGTTACTGCTGTGCCAGTTCCTAGCTACAATGTTACCGCTGTGCCAGTTCCTAGCTACAATTTTACCGCTGTGCCAGTTCCAAGCTACAATGTTACCGCTGTGCCAGTTCCAAGCTACAATGGCACCTCTGTGCCAGTTCCTGGCACCGCCTGTGCCAGTTCCAAGCTACAATGGCACCTCTGTGCCAGTTCCAAGCTACAATGTTACCGCTGTGCCAGTTCCAGCTACAATGGCACCTCTGTGCCAGTTCCAAGCTACAATGGCACCTCTGTGCCAGTTCCAAGCTACAATGGCACCACTGTGCCAGTTCCAGCTACAATGGCACCGTGCCAGTTCCTTAGCTAATGGCACCTCTGTGCCAGTTCCAGTAGCTACAATGGCACCTCTGTGCCAGTTCCAGCTTAGCAATGTTACCGCTGTGCCAGTTCCAGTTCAATGGCACCTCTGTGCCACCAATACAATGGCACCTCTGTGCCAGTTCCAAGCCACAATGGCACCGCTGTGCCAGTTCCAGCTACAATGGCACCTCTGTGCCAGTTCCAAGCTACAATGGCACCTCTGTGCCAGTTCCAAGCCACAATGGCACCGCTGTGCCAGTTCCAAGCCACAATGGCACCGCTGTGCCAGTTCCAAGCCACAATGGCACCTCTGTGCCAGTTCCAAGCCACAATGGCACCGCTGTGCCAGTTCCAAGCCACAATGGCACCGCTGTGCCAGTTCCAAGCCACAATGACACCACTGTGCCAGTTCCAAGCCACAATGACACCGCTGTGCCAGTTCCAAGCCACAATGGCACCGCTGTGCCAGTTCCAAGCCACAATGGCACCGCTGTGCCAGTTCCAAGCCACAATGGCACCCATGTGCAGTTCGCTGTGCCAGTTCCAAGCCACAATGGCACCGCTGTGCCAGTTCCAAGCCACAATGGCACCGCTGTGCCAGTTCCAAGCCACAATGGCACCACTGTGCCAGTTCCAAGCCACAATGGCACCGCTGTGCCAGTTCCAAGCCACAATGGCACCGCTGTGCCAGTTCCAAGCCACAATGGCACCACTGTGCCAGTTCCAAGCCACAATGGCACCACTGTGCCAGTTCCAAGCCACAATGGCACCGCTGTGCCAGTTCCAAGCTACAATGGCACCTCTGTGCCAGTTCCAAGCTACAATGGCACCTCTGTGCCAGTTCCAAGCTACAATGGCACCACTGTGCCAGTTCATAGCTACAATGGCACCTCTGTGCCAGTTCCAAGCTACAATGGCACCTCTGTGTCAGATCCAAGCTACAATGCCACCGCTGTGCCAGTTCCATGCCACAATGGCACCGCTGTGCCAGTTCCAAGCCACAATGGCACCACTTTTCCAGTTCTAAGCTACAATGGCAGTGCCAGTTTCAGGATACTATGGAACTAATTGATCGGTCATTCATGACTTGTGGACAACTAAATATGGTCCCAGTAGGTCCAAGGAATCAGGAGAATGTAAAACAACAGTCATGGAGAGTTTTAAAAATTCATTTGTAATCACCATCAATACTCCACAGTTTGTATCCACTATCCGGCCTACTTCCAGTCAGTTTGCAATGTAGTCGCTATATATAACCAACCAATCATGACCTGACCTGCACCCAGCAAGAGGGAAACCAACAGGTACTTTGACCAATCACAAAATGGCAATATTTCCCATGTAACAAATGCCACAGCCTTTGCACCCTGGAGTCACAAGCCTCTGTCGTGCTGCTGACTAAGGTTGTGTCTTGGTGTTTTCATTACATTATCAGTTCCGGAAAATCTTACCTGATATTGTGCCTTCAAAGGATTTGATAAGCGTTTCCATCTTTGTCTCGCTTTTCCACCTTATCGTCCCCAGTCGCTGAACACTTCCAAGCTGAGTGCCTGATTAGTCAAAAGAAACGGGGATGATGAAGTTACATTCTTCACAAACATGTGTACATAAACCACATAGCAAAAAACAATCAGTAAAATCTGAATACAGCAAAGACAATGGAAAACTTGGGGAATAATGGATACAGTTTCATGACACAAATCATGAACACAAAGTTAATCATATTTCAGAGAAAAAAGGTAGCGTACTGATTTAAAATCTATATATTGAGAACACTTAAAAACACACACAGTAATGTAATTTATAAACTGCTTTCTGTAAAGTAAAAAGATATTAACGCTTTGCGTTCTGGGTAAGTGATGCCGAGTGAAAGCGAGCTGGTAATGCTTCGCTATCAGCAATATCGAAGCTAGTATGGCGCTGCCTGCAAATAATTAAGTCCTAACCAGACAATGGTCAGGTATCAACAGCATAAGGCGATCATCCACTCAATTGAAGATATGCGATGACATGTGTCAAATCTCGAAGAGTTTTAGCGAGCCTGATCCACGCATCCTGCTAATCTCTTTGTCCTGAGTTATCCTTGTACTGGATTTCAATATGTAAAGGCTGCCATGAAATAGGGGATCATTGCTGACTGGCATAAACATCATTCACTTCATGTGAGGAGATATGGCTCTCACGCTGCTCTTTGAAGCAATATTCCAGCAATGGATACCACGGTGGGGAACACCAGAAGCTGGTGTACACGGATGTACCCATGTCAGAAATCGAACCTGCCCTGGCATGGCGATAGCTAATGCTTGTGAACCATTAAGGCATACCACACACCGCCCACATTCACTTTATGTGACAAGGGCTCTACAGCCTATACCTTTTCATGAAACAGCAAATGCAGATCTGTTGGTATCAACCGGTGGAATGGCGGATACCGTCTTCAGCGCATTTCAAATCAGCTAACGAGCATCGTAAACTGGTCACAAAGCTGTCAGCGACAGAAGTAGTTGCGCAGTTATATACCGTTAATGAATAATGTAACGCGCCTTTGATAACAATTAAGTGTCGGCGAAATGAGACATACTTAGTGTTCAGATTTATTTAGTTGAGCCAGTTTTACGATATCGTAAATTAAATAATCATTAGCTAGTCCATTCAGTTCAACCATTGCTCTGTATTTGAATCATATTTTATTCAGACTTCAATCAACGGCCAATGTAGTGTTGCGCTGCGTAGTATAATCGCGTCCGCGAAATGGAATGAAGTTGATTCATTTGAATGATGAAGTGTTAAGTTTCAAGAAAAGGAAATGAACACGCAAAGAGAAAACTAGGGTGATTACCTTCATAGCAGTTTCCTGAGTAAGCTTTGTTGATTTGCCGTTATCCTTCATTACTGATCGTATCGATGTATTGATTCGATCCATCTTTCAAAGCAAACAGTCAATAAAGAATCTCGGTGTTCAGGCGTAATAAATTCGCCATGGTAGAATCAATAGAAGAGTGCTATAGCCATAAAATGATATCATTTGTTGCGCCAGAAGGGAATGCTTTTCGCCCCGCAAAATTTAGCGAAATAAGGAGTGAATAGTCTTCTTATGAAACCGGTTCGGTTACGTTGGTGAAGAAAGTGCCCACGGTAATTTCGATCCGGATGAAGAAATTTTATGGAATGGTTGTTGAGTTCTAAGCCTTTAAAAGAAATAGATTCTCGATCAAAAACGGTAAAATATCCTCGATTCCGGTTTTAAAGGTCGGTTTCCCTAAATATTAACGACAATGATAGAATGATGAGGTTCCATCTGCGCTATGCATGATTCTACTGGTGAATTTTGATGATCATATGATAGTGGTTTGGTGAGAAGCGCGCAAATACTATGAGGACTCCACTCTTTATGGATTTATGGGATACCTAGGTTTCGTTCGAGTACCAGATATAGAGTCATACACCATGTCTGTTCGGCGGAGTGTCACTGTATGTTAGAATATCTACGGAATAATAGGTTCTATGGTCGGGAAAGAGTTTTGATATCGAAATGGAACGGTTTTGATTTCGAACATATGAAGATTCGCCAGATCATCTCAGTAATGATTACCGAATTTATTATCTCGAAGAGGTGGAATGGTGCGGCGGCGAATTTTTGAAAGTTGACCAGATTCAGCAAACATTTTCAATGATCCTTCGAAAGAGATTCCGAGTCGCGCCGATCCAAGAATCAGAGAAAACATTTCATGTCATGTATAAAGCCGGATTCAAACGAACAAAGGCAAACAGGAGTTTGAGAAACCGCGATCGATCCCCTAATAGATAGCGTTGTTTCACCATCGGCAGAATCGTCGAATCGTTCAAAACCGGTCAACCCAATATTCCGGAAATCAACCGTTCAATCGTCAGCCTGAATTTTAAAGCCGTTACTTTCAACAAAACCGTCACTCGAGTAGTCGATTGAACCATCGCAGAGCCAAGTAATCCCAAAAGTTCGAAGTGATCGGTATCATGCAACGAAGTTCAGCGTTTCGTTTAAACATTGAAGTCATGGAACCCAAACAATGAAACGCGTAACCAAAGGGTCATAAAACCCGCATGAAATGTCATCGTTCAAATTAATTTGGTCCGTTGAAGATCGGAAGTGCGAGGGTGAAAATGGAACGTCCCTTACGGGAATGGTATCCCCCAGCTCCAGAAGGAATAAATGCAACATTCATTTGCCAATGTTCATGCACGATCAACGTTTGCTGAATTGGTATTGATTTTCCGAACCCGGCAGTCCCATTGTTGATCGTCGATCTGCGTCTGCAAATGAATCCTGTTGAACGCTTTTGTTATCCTGCTTAAATGATAAACAATCATTTTTCAACATCTTCCGTTATTCCCTAGGGTAATAGCTTCATGAAGTTAGCAATCACAGCACCCATTTCCCCTGCGAGCTGCCTGCAGAAGTCGCATGCCATTGATGCACAATTCAACCAGTTCATCTTGAACAAACTCATCGATGGATGGCAAACGCCCGCTTCCTGCCTGATTTGAAGGATACCGACCAAAATGAAACGGCAACCGGATACCTGGGATCTTCGGGTAGTAATCTTCCATTCCATTCAGCGTTTTGTTACCTTTAGCCATGAACGACTTTTCAAATTAGCGCATTGATTGAATTGATTGAATAGCTTCAATTAGCCTTGTTCAAATTCAACAATATGATATAATATGCTTTTGTCTTTGTGAACATCTGTGATTGAAAGTTATCCGCTTATAAAGCAGTAACTTTATATCGATCATGCTTCGAATTATCACGGAATAGTGATATTGAGAGTGACACTTTGAGTCAGATTACTCGGTATTGGGTGTCTGATTTTCGCGACTATACCAGTGGTTGGTACGATTCCTGAGAGCATTGAGGTTGTTTCTCATTCCAAGAATTTCAACGAACCGAATCGAAACATCCTCGGTTTTCCTTGGCAGCCCTGGTGGTAACAAAATGCCAACCCTCAGCCTAAGCCTGCTCCTGCCTCCTGGCGGTTTATAGTCATCCTTATGAAGGCTCGTACATGTAAATGAGGGGTATACTCAACGTTCACAATAAACGGTATTCGTCGTCAATACGGCCATTCATTTCATTGAATGAGATGCATCAGTCGGCTACGGTCCCCATTATGGTCGGGTTTCAACTATGGAAGGGAATTGAGATCATGGGCGGAAATATTCGTTTCGGCCCTAAAATTTCTTCAATGGGGTGAGGTTGATTAGTAGATGAGCACCCTGATTTTGCGCATGATCTGGCGAATTGATCGGTGAGTTGTGATTTATCGAAATGGAAGCTCACGAGGGTATCCCATGCGGTATTCAAACCAGATTTTCTTATGCATTCGAAGATCTTTTGAACTGGTTGTGTTCATCGCGCCTTTCATGAGTAAAATTGTTCAAGTCGAATTAGAATCCACCATTGGCCCGATGAACCCATATTTGTTTCAGCTGGATTTATAAAGAATAAACATAGAATGAAATGCAATAGCGACTTTCGATTGAGCAGTTGAAAGCAACGCCACCGATCTTCTTTTTCTTCAGTCGGCAACCGTTTCGATGAATCCAGTTTGAAGCTTTTCGCCCTTCACTTTCCACTTCAGCGAATCATTCGCTGGAGCTTTCGTTTATAATGAGGGAGGCCTGGTCAAGTTCCTTCCATGAGGTTTGTGTATTCGCGGGCGAGCATTTGCCATGCCGGCGATGGTGTTTTGTTCTCGCGCTTTCACCGTTAACAGGTAGTTCATTTCGGTGTCGACCCGTCAAGAGGAACGCTGGAATATTGCAGCCGCCCGTTCCATGGTTTTCTTTTGGTCACTTTTCTTCCGATATAGCGAAGTCTTGTCGACTTTCTGCATTTCGCGATGCAATGGCGCGCGAACAAATGGTCCCATCTCTTAGAAGAAATGGAAGCGCACGAAATTCTGGCGATGATAACAGCGAGAATTGAACACCGGTGATCGGAGGTCAGGATTTACGCCGTATCGTGTCCGTATCGGCGAGCTGGATCCAGGATAATAACAGCCACGAAAACGCAGGGATTGACAAACCAACTGTCGGCCACGAATAATAGGTAGCATCCGTTCGTAAATCAACAGACTTTGTGGCCGAGTAGTGTTCTTTGACTTCGAGAACCGTCAAAACCGTTTGTAAGTCCCGTTCTACAGTTCATTCCGTTTCGAAAACAGTTTCTATCCGGCATTTGCGAAATGCGATCGGTATTATGTTGTGGTGGCGTCAGTGAAATGAGTCCCATCCCTACTTTGCGCATCATTTCAACCATAAAACATGAACAAATTAGCATGTCAGATTAAAAAGTGATTGACGTAAAAATTACAGTAATAATGATGAAGAAAGACCATACACTGTACTCAGTGCCATATTTAATAACATGATTTACACCGTAATGTATTCGCCCTAATATGCACACTGGCAACATGGAATTTGACATATGTAAACCACAAATGAGTTAAATCTATCGTCAGAGATAGATGAGCCACGAAAACATTAGTACAAACATCAATGGAAAATTATAAAAAAATGTTGCAATAAAAGTTGCTAGCCAAATATATTTATAAAAATCATTTACGGATCAGTATGGAAGTAGGTCAGGAGCACTTTCTGGTGAAGGGTACTCAATACAATGAATACGGTAATCATAACACGGCCTGTTTTTAAACCTCAGAATCATTTGGATACATGTAAAGTTGTACCAACCTTGCTGCAAAACTATCAAATTGCAGATTAATGCAAGTATACCGCAAAAAATAGTTACTGTTTTTTTAAAAAAAACATACAAGTACACAGCTTGTATTAAGAAAACATTCAGAGAAATAGCATAACATCTGAGAGGGCAGGATAATCTTACTGCAATGTGTAGTGAAGCCCACAGAGGATTACCATGTTAAAATCAATACAGGAATAGAAGCAGTATTAAAAATTCATGCTGTCAAAGCAGAACAACCATGTTGAATTTGTTGCAAGAAATAACACAATTCAGTCTGCTATAGCCTTATTTGGGAATAGCATTGATATAAATAAATAAAGTATGTCTGAGTTTTAAAATAGAATAACATAAAACCTAAATACTGCCTAAAGGCTAAGTGATTGTATACCGGTACATGTGTTTTAGGAAATTCACATTACATCTATACTTTCCTAAACTTCTTTGGAAGCACCAGCAACAAAGGTCATGCTTACAATGCTCATCCTTCTATGACTTGTGTTTTACGTCACAATCAGCAATATTTCAGCCATGGAAGCCTGTATGTAATGAAGGCAATCTAGAGTGAGGGAGTATGGTTTTACACCACGTTTAGCAATATTCCTGCAATATTACAGCAGGAAACACCGTAAATGGGCTTCACACGATGTACCCATGTGGGGAATTGAACCTAGGCCATTGGCGTGACGAGTGAACGCTTTAACCACTAGGCTATCCCACTGCCCCGACAGTCTAGAGATTGAAAAGATGAGCAGTGTTGAGCAATGAGCAAATAAATCCACCAAGTCACCAAAGCTGGCCTCCTGATCTAATTTTTTGTCTTATGACAAGCATACATTGTTTGCTACATAGCGGCATAATCTACATAATTTTATATTCATATTGATCATTAATGCTGTTTTTTTAATTGTCCAGACATATGTTTTACAAATGAAAAGTCACCATTGAGCTGATAATAAAGAAGATATTCATAATGCATAAGAATCAAACAGATCATAATGTCCACCAACATGCCAATTGGAAAATGTGTGACTGAAATAACATTGGAAATGGGTTAATCATTAGCTATCCCAGAATGCACTGGTAACTGCAGTAGTAATAATAAACACACATGTAGTCACATTTTTATCATACAAAATTCCCAACTACCATCACAGATTACCAAAATCAGGATAATATTGAAACGCTAACACAAAACGTACAAGGAATCATGTTCCTACTTACAAATTTAATCTAAGAAGGGAGAGAAAATTTACTATTCAATGTATGCAGCTGTTCTTAACCATATTTATTTTGGTCTAGTTTGTGAATATAACTGCTTAAAATTGGTTTGTTTATTGTTTAATGCTGTTTTAAGCAACATTCCAGCTATAGAAGGTCTATAAACTATCAGGACTGGACCAGACACTCCAGTGATTGTCATCCAGTGAACCGACCCAGGTGGGACATGACGACATGCATTAACCCAGTCAGCAAGTCAGACCGTCTGATCCTGTAAGTCGTCTTTTACAACAAGCATGGCTGTCTAAATATCAATCCTAACCTGCTGCTTAATGTATTCTGATTATTTTGATATCATCATTAGTTGACATTTAGGAAAGTTGTTACTGCAAAAAGCAATGTGTCTCAAAGATTTACTGGCTGTTCAACAGTATTCCAGTTATATCGTGATGAGGCAGCTGGGCGTGGGTGGAAAGCATGAAGTGATGCAGGTCTGGGCAGTTCACCACTTTATGGAACATGCTAGCACTGCTACCAAGAATCAATCAGGACAATCTGGTAGTCAAATCCACTGTCACAGGATTCTGGCAAGCCAAAGGGACACAATTCTGCATAGAAAAAGGTCACCCATGCCTCATTTGACCACTATCCGTTTTGCAACTTACTAAAATCCTATGTCTCAGTTTCTACTTACTTAACATACACCCACAGCAGACTGTCTTTTAGAGAGCTTGAAAATTGCTAACCCCTGTTTAATCTTTCTTTTGAACTACATCCTGCCATTTTACAGACAGTTTAATGCAGTTTGTTTTATCTTGTGTGTCGAATTCATTGTATCAATGCATTATGTGTAAAATGAAAATATTTTACAACTGGCAGATCACCATTATGACGGAGGGGCACTTGGATGACCATGTGGAGAAAGTATTGGCTAATCATGCTGAAGATCTAAGTTTAAATCCTAAGAGAAAACTTAGTCTATAAGCCACTTCTTGTGTTCAACTGATATGGCAGGAATAAATTTAAATATTTTTTTCTGAAATATCAAAGCCACAATCGATTCTTAAAGGACTTAACGTCTGAATACTTTCAATCTGCTTCAAAAGTGACAATCAACATCCCATGTGAGACTACAAACCATTTATTTGAGTTAAACTATTAGTGCACAAAGAGTTGTCTCCCATGTCATACTTTCTTAACTGAACATGACAACAATTATCCTGATTTTGGTTTACAATTCAATATTTGTCCAGCAAAAAGTTAGTTATTTCATTGAAATAACCACACTGTCTAAATGTTCCATTTGGTACCAACAAATATTAAACCCAAAAATGTCTTTCACGAACATTTTACTTTTAAATTATGGAAACAAGATTATGTGGTTATTGTAATGAAATAACTTTCCAGTTGATACAAAGCACATGACAAAAACTCCCGGTCAGCAAAGTAATCACAAAGTCAAAGAAAAATAGCATTAGAAGTTTGTTATTTCATACATACATATTGAATAAATATAAAACAAACAGTAGAAGAATAAAACCTGTTACATTCACATAACCTCAGCATGATATGTTTCCTGACAAGTATGTTATAGCTATTATAGCACATTTACAAGTTTACCATGACACTGCATTGTGTTAGTATCCTCTCTAGCTCTTCATTCTCATGCAAGTGAGACTGTACAATATAGCACGTCAATATCACTGTCTACAGGAATCGGTTGATGTCAATAGGTAAAGCAATTCTCTGTCAACATGCATCCATGCTCCACAGAGACTTGTCACAGATGTCAACATTGTCACTATATACTTAGAGATTTCAATCATGCAGTTAATGTTACTACCTCTAAGGGCCACCTACCTCGGGGGTTCTTTGTCTGCATCATGGCATTATCAACTTGGATGGTCGAGTTGGCGCCATTTCTTGTAAACCTGACTATGTGATATTTTCCATCATTTACACTCTCAAACAGTTCTCCTATTGGATGGTCTGATGTCCCCATGTTGTACACCACGAACACATTTCCATTTACCTGGAAAATGGACCATAATTGTTAACGAAAAAGCAAACATGTGCTCAGGCAAAGGCTTTGAAAACTGGAGAAGAGGCCCTCAACCTCTTTAAACACTCACATTCAAATAATATTTAAAAAAAATATGAAGTCAAGCTCCTGAAATAACACTCTCCTTTCCAGGAAACCTATGTAATTTTCTATCATTACCTCAGTGAGTGAGTAAAATATTGTTTAATGCTAAAAATATATTCAAGTATTTAATGCTTTTGCTATCATTTACTAGAAAGGAAACAATCTTCATTTAGTAGAAAGGAAACATCCTTTTCGCTATTCAAGGCAATCTCATGTACTAGAAAGGAAACATATCCATACTCCATAATTTACTTGATAAAATTAATATTCTATCTATCATTCCATTCACTAGAGTGGTGGTGGGGGTGGAATTAGGTTTAACGTCGTGCTTGAGAATATTTCACTCATATGATGGCAATGTGTATTGCTGCTCTATTAAGCTGCTACCCACTGAGATACCATGCCTCATGAATACCCCACTCAGACACATCTGACTGAGTCTCCAGTGAGACGGTAAACACCTTCCGCGCTTGGGCAAAACCACTACACCGCCTCTCCAGTGAGACTAAGCAGAAAGCAGTCCCCCCAAACATTGACAGTCAAGTTCTTTGAGAGGCATTTTAGAAGTTGTGAAGATGAAGGAAAACCAAGTTCTATGGATAGTCAACTGCTTTATTGCAATGAGTCGCGACATTTCGGTTGTAGGTATTAACACTGTTATCAAGCAAGAATAATAATCAAATATCACTTGCTTGATAGCGGTGTTATGAGTACTACGCTTGAAATCACACTCATTGCAATAAAGAAGTTGACTATCCATAGAACTTGGTTTTCCTTCATTGACAGTCAAGTAAGCTCTTGATATCTTTGAGATGTTTAAAGTATTCCAAGATTTGAGTGTTTCCTTACCAGTTCCAGTTCTAGGTAATCATCATAGTTTCCACTGTTTATTCTGACGAGCACAGCATCCTTTGACCGTGTTCTGAAGCCCAGGGCTAAGTTGTCCCGGATTGCATTAGGATGTTTTCCAGGAGGGTGGGACAAGATCACCATGCCACCGTTAGGACCAAACTCATAGGACGTGCTCTCTGCAAACAAACACACATCATATGATGACCTATACATTGATCAGTACTAGTGGTGTTCCGATGATCGATAATCGAAAATTGATCGAAAGAAGGATTAAAAATGATTATCGATTGTAAAAAACTATTTCCAATTAATCAGAATTTTGTTGTTTTAGTATAACACACTTGAATGAAGTAAAGTAAAAATTAAATTTGACAAATAATCACGAACAAACATGCACTCAACAGCGTAAAGCTATACACACTGTAACATTTTAACCACTTTTATTGTTTAATTACAATTCCAGTGTCTTTCTTGCCTGTGTGTATTTCATTGCCTGACAGTATTAGTTATAAAAAAACATTCATCAGAAAAAAAACTGAGGAAAAACCCTTGAAATTGGTGATAACATTAAAAATGTATATACTTCGATTATAATTGATAATCGTTCACCACAATATTAATCCTCCGATAATCGATAGTGGATTTGGTTTCCGATTCCCAACACTAACCAGCAGCAGCCTCTTATCAGCCTGTGCCATCACCTTTTTGCCTGCTTGTCCAAACATGTCCTTCCATACATTTTTTCTTCCAAGTTCAGGCAAATATGGAACACTTAAATTCAAGTCTTCTTTAGCTTGATTAATAGCCCCAGTCTGTATACCAATTTTAAAATCCAGGATTCTACATCTTAGCTTTAAGTTTTAAATAGCAGTATTACATCACAAATTTGTATCAAAACAAGGCATATTTTCACAACCACCAAATAAAGTCAGATTAAACCTGTTATGAACTTTAATACTTTCATTAACAAGTATACATCATATTGTAAAACTTCAAGGCTTTTCAAGCTATTTTGGTGATTTTATGACTTTTCAAGAATGACCAATTCCATTTTCAAGCCTGTATGAACCTTTTCTGACACATAACACTTTTCTATCACTCATTCTTTGCAATAGAATTAAATAGCTACATTACTTCAGTTTAAACGATCACTACTATTTTAATTGTACTAGTGATATACAGAAAACTGTTTATAACAAACACAAATTGTTGTTTTTTCGTCCCAGCCATTTGTTGCATGTTTCAGTCGAAATATGTACAACAAAAAAGGTTATATTGCCATAATCTGTGGTTCAGAACAACCATAGTTCACTGCCTTCATGCTATTTGTTACATTCATTTATAACATCACAAGTGGTGTAATATCAATATCTTACAATTCACTTCATGAATTCTGGTAGGGTGTGGAGCAGATCAGGGGTGGAAATAACCCATTGCCCGACGCCTGAGTCCAGTGTTTTTCTGATCTCCAGACAGGATTTCAACTGGAAATCGCGGGTTGAGCAATTTGTATATCACACTGTGATGTCCAGTTGACTTTCCAATCTTAATTGTGTTGTTTATGTAAAAAAGGATCGAACAATCAACAAAGAAAACTGCTGGTATAGTGGAAAAATTGTGTTGTGCCACTGTACCGGAATACACTAGCAGTTTTAAAGTTATTTCCACCCCTGTTAATGTGATTGTGTTAGTTAATCAGTAGGATACTATATACTGTAGGCAATTGTCATGTGCCCACGTACACTGGGTTGACTTTCCAATCTTAATTGTCACAGTCACCCTGCAGATTAGTTGTAGGAGTTCCACTGCTGGACACAGCGGCCGTAGTTGGAGCATGAGTCAGTCTGACACTGGGTCGTGGGGCCTGCAAGGACAGAAGGAAACAGTAGAAGCATAATCAACAAGAGACACAAGACAGTATTTGCTTTGTTTGTTTGTTGTGTGATTATTCCAGACACTTAGAAATGATTGTTTTTAGCACAGGAACAGGACTCTTTTTTTCCACAAAAAACAACATTATTGCATAAAACAAATACATAAAGCTTAATTTCAGTCAATAAAAACACCCATGACAATAAATGATATTGGTAAAAGTCCAAGAGAAACCACACAATAAGACAAATGGTAATCTTCTATCTACCCAGTAGGCCAAATTTCATGAAGCAATCTTATCGCTATCAGACGACCATGTCAAACTATGGGAGTTACGGCAATCGTAGAGATACAACAGCTTTGTGAAAAGGGGAACTGTTATTTATTACATTCCACAAACTTATGAAGCTGAAATCTCCTCACCTTTGCATCCTTCTACCACAGACTCATGTATAGTGTCTGCCTCCTTCACCAACTGCGGCAAGTAACTGTTCAAATCTAAAGAACCTAAACATCCGAGGAATCCATGGCGAGACTTGATATTTTTCGGCAGAGAGTGGTACATTGTCTTCCTAACTCCACCCACGTACAAATGTCCTTCCAAATTGAAGTTAACAGCATGGGCTCCTTGTAGGTTATCCACAGTTGGGGTATTGTCGTCCACCCTGATCAGCTGCTTGTATGTTTGTGGCCTCAACAACTTCACCTCATGCCATTTGTTGTCATTCAACACCGACTTGGAGTTCGCCCGTATCCGTTCGGAACCATCACCCATATTGTACACATAATACAGATATCCTTCAGACATTTCTATGGCAAAGAAATCCTGCCCTCTGCCAGAATTATAAAACAATAATCCATAGGCTTCAGTTGTTTTGAATTGAAATGACAATGAAAAATCCTCATACGCTTGAAGCTGATTTAAGGTTGCAAATGCAGATGCGGATTTGAAGGTCACCGGGGTCCCTCACAACATAGTCGTCAGTGCTAAACCTAGCCGTCACTACAATGTTTTCTATATCTCCTATTTTAGCAAGCTCAAAGAATGCATTCTTGTTAAAGAGGAATTGTTGCATAGATCCGATGAAGCCCGAGTAGTCCCCGAGGGAGTTGTCGTCCAGCATCATGTGGCCGATCTTGATGCTGCGGAAGTCTAGATCCTGAACTCTTCCCCCCATGTCAGCTGCAACATCATAAATACAGTCTTTAATATTTTTGTTGAAATGGTCACCTTCAGAGATAAATGATACAATGTTTGATATTTCTATCGAAATAGTAACTTTCAGAGATAAATGATACAATGTTTGATATTTCTATCAAAATTGTCACATTCAGAGATAAATGATACAAGGTTAAATATTTTGTCAAAATAGTCACTTCAGAGATAAATGATACAATGTTTGATGAAGTAAGGCATGAGTATTGCATGACAAAATATCATAGCATACGTTGTTGGTTAGAATTGATGTCTCTTCACAATTTACTTGTTAATACGCAATTATAAATACTTTATAATTTAACTTTACGTATGTTTTCAAAAATTACAACATCTATCATGTGATGCCAATGTACAGTATAAAGTCCAGGATAGAAAATAATTCATTCATCCTTGTTTGAAAACTTAGTTACCCACCTAGACACTTTGCTATAATACAGAAAAGGTAAATTATTCTGATGAAGGAGCTCTACCTATCTTAATCTTGGAGATAATTCAAAACATAGGGAGTTTATTGGATCAGAGCACTAATATGTCAAAGTTCACTTGACTGACTGTAATGAGAAAGCCAAAAGACGAAAGGAAAGGCACATGACTCATATGAAATGGAAATCCACAAAGGTTGACAGAGTTGTCTCCCATTAACTGCACCTTTCAATGCAGTTACCTTAATATGAAGATGAGGTACAAGAAATGTGCTGTACATATTTTTTTTAAATAATGCAGGTAATTGAAGGTACAATGTGGATTTTACATTTGCATTTTACTTCCAAAATGAACTGATTGAACTGAAAAGCAATGCACCGGTATGAACATATGGGTACAAGCAACAAAGAACCAGCATGCAGTGATGGATAAATATTCTGAATCAGTTACCTTCAGGGTAGTCATACATGTTCCAGGTCACATGACCAGTAATTCCACCATAAGAAAACTGACTTTGTTAGTTACAGCTTGTTGTTTTTCTCCCCATTAGATTTAAAAAGCGGATGTTTAGGAAACACATCATTTCATAATTATTTCACAGACAATATTTACAACTAAGTATTACAGGTGACTGATTCAAACAAGGTTTTGAGTATATAAGACGAGTATATGGATGACAACTTCTTCTTTATTGTATAACACAACGTTTCTGGGCTACTTCTTGCCCCTTCTTCATCCCTATAGGATTGGAGAAAGAAACAAAGAGGTGACCAAAGAAAGATTAAAGTAATAAAACAAAAATTGTCAAAGGTCATGTCGTAATTCTGCAACTAAAACCCTTGAAATGATAAGTGCAAAATCAAAACACTGACACATGACACCATGGACAACAAACAGTAGGTGTTATACCAGCAGTAAGTGGCTCTAGAGAGCCAATGTAAATGACGTTGGAATCTAAGGATGTCTCCTGTCCTGGGAGTTGGTCTGAAATACAATACACACTTGGGGGTCACCTCATTTCTTTTTTATGTCAAGTTGATAGACTTTCCACTAGGTTAAGTACCATATAAAAGCCATTTAGGCCAAACATGTTTGTTGTTTAACGCCACACTCAACAATATTCCAGCTATATGGCGGCAGTATTTAACTAATCAAGTCTTGACCAGACAATCCAATGATCAACATCATAAACATTGATCTCCACAGTTGGGGTACAATGACATGTGAAAACCAAGTCAGTGAGAATGACCTTCTGATCCTGTAAGCTGCTACTTACGAGAAGTATGGGTTAGAAGGAACAATGTTTATGGATAGACTCCATATTGCAATAGATGTTTTCAGGTTTTCAGGTAAAACAAGCTTGACAACGATGTTAGCATCTACACCAAAACGTCACATCTGTTGCAATAAAGACGTTGTCTACCCAATACCAGCTTCCAAATGCCAGCATGGGTTGCTGAAGATCAATTCCAATCCGGATCTTCACGCGTATTGTCCTTTGTAAATGATATGACAAAAGACAGGAAATACAGTCAGAAATTCTGCCACAAACTTTTCAGTCGTAACAGGAACGTTAATTCAAACTGATTAATTTTTTGGTCAGTTGCTAAAAACAATGACCACACTTCAGTGGTTTTTCGGTGGTTTTAAGTCTTTAAAATGAAATGAATGAAAACCATGACAGAAATACTCTAATTCAGTGAGATATCATCACTTATTTCAACAAATATTAGTGCTGTCATAAACTGTACACCTGCTGTGGGTTCTGATGACAGATGCTAGATACAGTCTTTGACTCATAATGATGACTTTGGTCTTTAGTTAAGATGACCTGAGATGTGAGGCTTTTTATGTAAAGTAAAGTACCAATTCATTGAAGTGACGTAAAATATCCTAGATAGTTGTCTCCCTTTACCTGTAACTGGTCTGTGAGCGTCAATACCAAGTTCAATAGTCTGAGCTCGACGTTTGATGACAACAGTATGCCAACGGTCATCGTTCAGTACACTTCCAACTGTCAGTTCCTGTGAAATAGTAGTAGTGATTAAAGTAACATTATACACATTATTTCTTCCAAGTAATAGGACTTCCAAAATGAGATAAATAATCAGAATAAAGGACATTGTAATCCTGCCTTAGCATCCAATCAACACTAATCCTGGAGGCAAACGGGTGATACGTGTGTCCCAAAGGGTGATAACTCATTTTTGAAATGAGACTGTCAAACCTGTCAATTTGTACACAGCTGTTAGCTCTATGTTTGCTGTGGAATATAGAGCTGTGGAATACAGAACCAAGCTTTAAAATAACGCTTCATTATTGACCCCTCATTTAAACTGCTGTAAGATATTGAACATTTGTACACCATTTGAACCACTGTTTTACAATATTATTATATTCATGCTCATAAACCATACCTGTCAACTCTCATGCATCATGCATGAGACTCGCACATTTTCCCTCAAAGTCACGCACTCACACATTACCTCTCTAAACTCACACATTATTGGCAATTTTTAAAAAATAGCATCAAATGACATAAAAATCATCTTTAAATAACCTAAAAAAAATATGTTTTCAACCCTCAACCCCCCCACCAGGGCATCGCCCTGAACCCAACCAGGGCCTGCATCCCCTGGATCCCAGCTTCTCACTAATTGGAACTCTCAGGGGTTGAGAGCTATGCACAATATAGTTATAAAATACACATATTTGTCTCAACAATTAATAGCAACAAACTGACCTGGAAGGGCTGATTTCCAACATAACAAGAGATATATGATTGTTTAGATGAAAGAAGTACTGTCCATACACAAGTATCAACCAAAATGTAAAGACTGCACTTGATAACCACCTGTAAGTGTCACAGTAACATTTAACACAACCATGGAACATTCCACATGAGCTATCAGCTGAAGATCGGACCGCTTGGTCAGAGCACCTTGCAGGGTCAGTGACAGAAGGATAAAATGAAAGTGAAGTACACTGCACATGTGAACAATCTAGTGCTCCCTGTGTCAAAGTGCAAATCTAAGTTTGGCCTAGATAACATTAACTTCAATATGCGACATGACAGCAACCAGTCAACAAGCATCCCCAGTTCTGCTGCATTAAGGTGCCATTAGTTTTAGTGCATTATTCTCATCTAATGTATAAGGGGCGATGGGGTAGTCTAGTGGTTAAGGCGTTCCCTCGTCACGCCGAAGACCCGGGTTCGATTCCCCACATGGGCACAATGTGTTAAGCCCATTTCTGGTGTCCCCCGCCGTGATATTGCTGGAATATTGCTAAAAGCGGCGTAAAACCAAACTCACTCACTCACTCACTCTAATGTATAACACCATTAATCCACCACATGATATACTTAGCCTCCAGGTACAAACCTCATCTTGTTGTCACTGTCAACATTACACTAAGGTTTTAAAGCCACTTCCTCTAAATACCAAAGTAAGCTCAAATGTAAACATTATACAGTCACTATCAGTTGTGTAGCCATATCCCGCAAAATGCAAGAGTAACCTTTAAGAGACACCTGCCAACATCAACCCATATTTATTTCACCCTGAACTCTCTCACTTACCGAAGTACCTCTGTCAACATTAACTCTCAATACTGAAGTCACTCACTGACCTCCATGTCTCTGCAAGCCCTGACCATTACTATTTAAAGCTCTGTTTCACTTTACTACACTTAGTCCCCTGCCAACATTAACCTTAGTTCAAGATGTCCACCCACACTAACTTATCTCCGGTCCACTGCCAACATTCACCCCTTCCTTCCAGAGCTTTGTCTCAGTTTGTTAACCAACCTTACTACCACTGCCAACATTAACCTTAGTTCTAGACGTCGACCCACACTAACATATCTCCACTGCCAACATTCACCCCTTCCTTCCAGAGCTTTGTCTCAGTTTGTTAACCAACCTTACTACCACTGCCAACATTAACCTTAGTTCTAGACGCGATGCGACCCACACTAACATATCTCCACTGCCAACATTCACCCCTTCCTTCCAGAGCTTTGTCTCAGTTTGTTAACCAACCTTACTACCACTGCCAACATTAACCTTAGTTCTAAATGTCGACCCACACTAATATATCTCCACTGCCAACATTCACCCTTTCCTTCCAGAGCTTTGTCTCAGTTTGTTAACCAACCTTACTACCACTGCCAACATTAACCTTAGTTCTAAATTAACCTTAGTTCCACTGCCAACATTCACCCTTTCCTTCCAGAGCTTTGTCTCAGTTTGTTAACCAACCTTACTACCACTGCCACATATCTCCACTGCCAACATTCACCCCTTCCTTCCAGAGCTTTGTCTCAGTTTGCTAACCAACCATACTACCACTGCCAACATTAACCTTAGTTCTAGACGTCGACCCACACTAACATATCTCCACTGCCAACATTCACCCCTTCCTTCCAAAGCTTGGTCTCAGTTTGCTAACTAACCTTAGTGCCACTGCCAACATCAACCCTTAGTTCCAGAGCCCCAGCCTCAAGGTATAGCTCCATCCTGTCTGATGTTTTGTCTGAGGTCGTCATGAACAGCAGTCCATTGGGATGCATTGTGTGGAATCGCATCGAAATGTCTTCAGCTTCTGTTGATGACTCTTCTGGGAACTTGACCTTGACATACTGAGTGCCATCAAAGCGCAGACTAGTGGCAGCTGAAACAAAGAGTCCCTGAGAGTCACAGAAAGATCCATGTTTGGTTCCATCCATTCCATGTTCCTTGTATTTTTCTCTATCGTGTGAGGCAATGTCAGAATATAGCTCAAGCGGCCTTCACACGGCAAACTAAAGTTTGACAACACATGTTTGTTAAAATATTAAAAGTTGTCAAACTCGCGTTTTCACACATCAAACACATATTATCAAACTTTTGTGTCATTTGAGCACCACGTCACATCACATGACAATTTCTTTGACTACAATTGGTTGTTTCTGAACAACAAGAGTTTGACAACATTTCAGACGTCAAACATGAGTTTGACAACACTGATAGTTTGATGGAAAGTTGGTGGGAATAGAGACCGATCCTATTTCTCCACAACAGTTTGACAACTCTGAAATTGGTGTTGGTGGCAATGTTCACACTCTCAAACCCGAGTTTGACAACATGAAGGCTGCTTAAGTGAAAAATAAACATGTGACATAAATAGTTTATATTCAACTGAACATCATCTTCATCAACCCTAATGTTTTCAAAACATAATTTTGAAATCTCAATAAAACTGCAATCATGGTATCTACTGCCATAATATTGGTTGAATATAATTTATTGTCTCTAAAATATAAGTCTGTAGATATTATAGACATTATGTCTAGGTTATTTAATTTATTTGCATAGTGTTACTCAATCACACCAACAGTACCAACTTTTAGCAGAATCACTTTGTCACATCCACTCTGTTGCAGAAACTAGCAGTTCCAATTACAATATACCCAATACACTGCATACATTATCACATAACTGCATTGTATTTGGAATATCAGTTTCCATTTATACACTCACTTCAAAACATGTATAACACATATCAAACCAGGAAGTACCAGCGGTGTGTGCATTTAAAAGGTACAATGACCAAGTGAGCAATATCACAGTATCCTGCAAGTAATCAAACCAGTGACATCAATCGATGACACGCAATCGCTCTTTGCAATGCCTATTTTAGTAAGCTCTTACGAAAACGACGGAGTGCTGTTGAACTAATGGGCTGGTGGGATACAGCTGTATTAGTGCTGACAGAATCATTTAAGAACATAAACCCACTGTCTTGAAACATCCATCCTCACCCTTATGAGTGAGTGAGTGAGTTTAGTTTCACGCCGCTTTTTAGCAATATTCCTGGGGATGGGGGACACCAGAAATGGGCTTCACACATTGCACCCATGTGGGGAATCGAACCCAGGTCTTCGGTGTGATGAGCGACGTTTTAACCACTAGGCTACCTCACCGCCCCCTTATGTGTGTATGTCTCACACTTTGGTTACTATAAAGAAATTTACCGACTTAATAAATATTTCCAATATGGGCACAATGTTCCCTGAAATTTCATGAAATATGACATAAAATGTCACAGACAAACAGCAGCAGGATCTTGTAGCTTTAGTTAGTAGTTTTATTGGGACAGTGGGGTAGCCTAGTGGTTAAAGCGTTTGCTCATCACGCCAAAGGCCTGGGTTCGATTCCTCACAGTGTGTGAAGCCCATTTCCAGGCCCCTTGCTGTGATATTGCTGGAATATTGCTAAAAGCCGCATAAAACCATACTCATTCACTCACTTAATATATAGATGGATGTCATAACAGGACGACAGTTGGGACCTCAAATATCTAATTTCCCTTCAGATAAAGTTATCAAAATGACAGCAAACACATGTTATTAGTCCAGGGACCCATTCCACAAAGTAATGATAGCTCTATGGTGATCAGATCACCATACTTCAACACAGACTTGTGAATATCACTGCACTAAGAAGGCTTTGTTGATCGGGTCCACGATGGTTCAGCCTTCCTCACGCAGCCCACTAATTGTGGCTGTGTGTTGTAAACACTGATGTAGGTAATCCAGTAGTAACGCACTGAAACATTCCACACAGGCTCATCATACCGTACACTCGGGTTCGATTCCCCATATAGATTCACTCCTCATGCCATACACCCGGCTTAGATTCCGCACATGGGTACAATATGTGAAGCCCATTTCTGGTGTCCCCCGCCGTGATTTTGCTGGAATATTGCTGAAAGGGGTGTAAAGCTAAACTAACTCACTACAAGGATTTACAAGATACACTGGTGCATAAGAAAATACTAAGTCAGTTTCCTGGTTGTAAGTACAACACTAATTAAGTAAGTAGTAAAATATGTTTAGGAGGTTCTAACACAATCAAAAGTCTCACGAACAAAATGGGCTCTGTGTGAAAGAACATCAACAGTATCAAAAAACATGAAGAATGGCAGCCCAAAGACTTCTAGAACAGGTCAAACTGCTCAGGTTTTGTCCTGGGACCAAACTTGAGATTCTTCTGTCTTTTTTATCATATTAAAACTTATACATATTACCTCCAGAAAAGAGTCTGTGTTACAATAACAGCTAGTTTTTAAGAATAATTTCCTGGAATAATGTGGTTTTTTTGTAACATTCTGCTTGCATAGCAAACTCTGAAATTGATTATTTTCTGAAGAGCTCTGGCAAAATCAGCAACTTGCACATCTCCCTGTCTCGGTAATATAGTTTGAGTGATAAAAAAAGACATATTCCAGATATGTGTAAGTCTATTACAGTTCTAAATTGTTGAAATTTTCACATTTCAGTAAATAAATACTCCTGTTTTTGATGTGACAAACCAATCTGATAAACTTCGTATCATGATTAGATAAATATGCGAATGAGGTTGCCTATCAGAAACACCTTACAAAGTCCCTACTTCAATGTGATGTTTTCATCTTCAATAAACTATTGACCAACACTGAACATGCACCTTGAGCATGCTGCAAACATGGAAATGAGCGCATTATAAATATGCACTATTATTATTTATTATTAACATACCAAATATGGTTACATAGATGTTTCAAAATGTGATGTAACATGGCTACCGACATACCTGCAGGTAATCAATCGTGTGTTGTTCAAGCAAAAACTGCAGTCAGGTTAGTAAACCTTCATTTTGTGAAATTACATACAAAACATAATTATGTTATGGGGATTATTATGATGAAGAAATTATTACTCTTGAGTGTTTTTCTAATTAAATGTCATAAATCTTTGAATAATGATTATACAATACATATTTCATTCCTACCATTTGACACATACAATAATCACTCATTTGGTTTATATTCCCTATCACTAAAGTTAACCATAGTGCAAGTAAAGATGAACGTTCTGTTATCATTTTCTCAAGTGTATTATAGAAACTGATTATTTCAGTACTTTTCAGTAAACTATTTCTACCAAGCTGACGTACTTGAACAGATTACTCTGTTACAACTTACAACACAGAGTATATCAGAAATACCCACGATTTCATTAAACTTACTTCATGTCTGGAAAGAAAGTCAATCCACGTTAAACATAGGTCTTGAGCAAAGTCTCAAAATTCCCCATGTCACTTAATGTCTCTCAAAACTAACAGAAAGTGATTCCATTAAGGAACATTAGTCTACAGTAAAAGATAGGAGGGTGATATATTTCAGATGAGATCAAATTGTTGTCAAAGTGTCTCAGTACATAACACTTGTTAATTTGAAATGTGATTGCTATTGATGAAAGTAGATCACCGCCAATAAGGATTTGAGAAAACCGTTTGACGAGTGACATTAATAGACATTCAGACTGGACCTAGATCCTCACTGGCCTTCAATCCAAGCACTGACTGACAGTGACAAGTTGCCCGGTTTGATTTCAGGAATAACTTGATGAAAATCACAGACTTCAATTATCATATGAACTAATTCACTTTAATGGTCTCAACGTAAACCTAAAAACCCAACAAACCAGATTACCAGGAACCATCGACTGGATCTAGGCTATGCTTGGTGAGAAATTGACTGCATTTCTCAGTCAATATTCAAACATACTTGTTTCTTTGATGTCGAGGGTAAAAGGATTTTTACACGGTAGCAACATGATACACACAGCTATATCAATGCATCAATAGGTTTTACAACATCTTGCCATACTAATCAAATATGAAAATATTGATATAAATGTTAAATGTATTGCTATTAACATGCTTGACCTTAAAAGCAACAAATATAGTGATCAGATGTCCAAAGTTACATTTTTTGGAAAAGGGTATATAGGCCTGATTAGAGTGAGTGAGTGATTATGTTTGTAAGGAATATTAAGGTGAGTGAGTGAGCTTAGTTTTACGCCACACTCAGCAATATTCCAGCTATATGGCAGCGGTCTGTATATAATCGAGTCTGCACCAGACAATCCAGTGATCAACAGCATAAGCATCTATCTGCGCAATTGGGAACCGATGACATGTGTCAACCAAGCCAGCAAGCCTGACCACCCGATTCCATTAGTCGCCTCTTACGAGGGAATATTAAGGAATATCAAGGTATGGGACATAAAAAATGAGGTCCAAACAATGTACTTATGTTTGGAACTAACACATAAGCCTCCCATATGACAAATGAACACTTAAACCAACCACCTAGCCTATTTAGAAGTCAGTAATATTGTAGCATGATAATAGAGACATCTACACACAATAAACCATTGTTCACAGTGTCAGCAAATGATCATCCTGAAGACATAATAGCCCTGTTGAAGGGTGTTAAAATAGTGGGCGCTATCCTGATAGAAAACACACTGAACCACAGCTTGTGGGGTGTTAAAATAGTGGGCGCTATCCTGATAGAAAACACACTGAACCACAGCTTGTGGGGTGTTAAAATACTGGGTGCTATCCTGATAGAAAACACACTGAACCACAGCTTGTGGGGTGTTAAAATAGTGGGCGCTATCCTGATAGAAAACACACTGAACCACAGCTTGTGAGGTGTTAAAATACTGGGCTATCCTGATAGAAAACACACTGAACCACGGCTTGTGAGGTGTTAAAATAGTGGGTGCTATCCTGATAGAAAACACACTGAACCACAGCTTGTGGGGTGTTAAAATAGTGGGCGCTAGCCTGATAGAAAACACACTGAACCACAGCTTGTGGGGTGTTAAAATAGTGGGCTATCCTGATAGAAAACACACTGAACCACAGCCAGTGGGGTGTTAAAATAGTGGGCTATCCTGATAGAAAACACACTGAACCACAGCTTGTGGGGTGTTAAAATAGTGGGCGCTATCCTGATAGAAAACACACTGAACCACAGCTTGTGGGGTGTTAAAATAGTGGGCGCTAGCCTGATAGAAAACACACTGAACCACAGCTTGTGAGGTGTTAAAATAGTGGGCGCTATCCTGATAGAAAACACACTGAACCACAGCTTGTGGGGTGTTAAAATAGTGGGCTCTATCCTGATAGAAAACACACTGAACCACAGCTTGTGGGGTGTTAAAATAGTGGGCTTATCCTGATAGAAAACACACTGAACCACAGCTTGTGAGGTGTTAAAATAGTGGGCGCTATCCTGATAGAAAACACACTGAACCACGCTTGTGCTTGTGGGGTGTTAAAATAGTGGGCGCTATCCTGATAGAAAACACACTGAACCACAGCTTGTGAGGTGTTAAAATAGTGGGCGCTATCCTGATAGAAAACACACTGAACCACAGCTTGTGAGGTGTTAAAATAGTGGGCGCTATCCTGATAGAAAACACACTGAACCACAGCTTGTGGGTGTTAAAATAGTGGGCTATCCTGATAGAAAACACACTGAACCACAGCTTGTGGGGTGTTAAAATAGTGGGCTCTATCCTGATAGAAAACACACTGAACCACAGCTTGTGGGGTGTTAAAATAGTGGGCGCTATCCTGATAGAAAACACACTGAACCACAGCTTGTGAGGTGTTAAAATAGTGGGCGCTATCCTGATAGAAAACACACTGAACCACAGCTTGTGAGGTGTTAAAATAGTGGGCGCTATCCTGATAGAAAACACACTGAACCACAGCTTGTGAGGTGTTAAAATAGTGGGCGCTATCCTGATAGAAAACACACTGAACCACAGCTTGTGAGGTGTTAAAATAGTGGGCGCTATCCTGATAGAAAACACACTGAACCACAGCTTGTGAGGTGTTAAAATAGTGGGCGCTATCCTGATAGAAAACACACTGAACCACAGCTTGTGAGGTGTTAAAATAGTGGGCGCTATCCTGATAGAAAACACACTGAACCACAGCTTGTGAGGTGTTAAAATAGTGGGCTTATCCTGATAGAAAACACACACTGAACCACGGCTTGTGAGGTGTTAAAATAGTGGGCGCTATCCTGATAGAAAACACACTGAACCACGGCTTGTGAGGTGTTAAAATAGTGGGCGCTATCCTGATAGAAAACACACTGACCCACGGCTTGTGAGGTGTTAAAATAGTGGACGCTATCCTGATAGAAAACACACTGAACCACGGCTTGGTGTAGGTTTTAGCTTCCATATATGTACTTTACATGCACATGAGCCATTATGACCATCCAACACTACTTTTTAACAATAAATCTTCAATAAAGAATCAAAGCATCGATCAAACAGAAACTTCCACAACAAGCTCCTAACACTAAAATGTCTGGCAATATAACTTAATGCAAGCAAAGATTTACAACGCATCTGGGAAAATGTGAACAAAGTCAATTTAATTCAATGTCATTTTTGATAGGAAATACCATAAAATACTGTCTGGCCGGCACTTGGTAGAGCAAGGAGCAATTTATATGTACATTCCCATGGATCTCCCCATACAGAAAACTGTCACCGAAGCTAAATTCATTTTGGACCAGAAACAATACATTGCAGTCACGGTAAAACCTTGATAATAGAGTCAGCTTCCATTCCATTATTTGTTCGATATTCATTTAAAAAAAGGAGGAAAAATAATGCAAGTTTGCTATTCGCCTTGACTGAACAAAAATTGTAAAATTGCCAGCAAAGATTGATGACAGTGTTTTTCTCCTTGCACACAATGAGGAACACTGTTTACTCATGGCATAACTAACACTCCATCTTGGAGACTGATGAATGATTTGAGACAATATGAACATAATTAAGCAACTCTCTTCTTTCTAAGCAAGATTTTTGTCTCCTGGATAGCAAAATGAACTCAACAAGCTCCTTCAGGGTGTCAGTAAAACTCTAGACATGCTAATAGTAACTTGCTAGCATTCTGTCTGTCACTTCCTTTTCATAAAGAGGAAGAGCAAGACTTAGCAGCAAGAGGCTGCATTCAAAAGAAACAAGTGAGATCAAGGATTTCTGTAAGTGAGTGAGTTTACCGGTAGTTTTACGCTGCACTTAGCAGATGTGAGGATAATGGCAGGATTCTATACAAAGTGCAGATAAACAGATGTGTGGACATATGTATACATGCTTTCAGTTTGTATAATCCTAAAAGCCACATATACAGTCATAAGCGTCACATCAGATTGGACATATTTTCACTGAAAAACATTTACATCAATCTGATAATTCCAATGACTGAATGGTGTCATTTCACTCACTTGAAGGTAAAAACTTTCAAATTGGATTTCAAATTTGCAATTTTTCAGTAATGGTAATGCTTATTGAGGTGATTTCCAGATGTAATAGACAGCTAATCATATATCTTTAATAAAATCACTGCGATAAGCATGTTGGCATTCTACTCAACGTTTAATAATAACATTCCAAACATTTATTATGATTTTTAAAAAAAGTCTCCTGACAGCTACAACCTGTACTGTACTAAAAACATCCAGCTCCTAGGCTAACTGTGTGACAGAACAAGTAGAACCATGAAAAACGTGCCTTGTCTTGTCCAATACAAATTTAGTAGTCATGTCAATGAAGTTAACGTATTCACTTTTGACCTAAACTGCCAATCAAGCCTCTGTAACAGAGGCCACAAGATGGGGAAGGAGAAATGCTGTTCAATTCCCTCCAGACCAATTTTCTCAAATACATGCCCTAGGACAAGTTGTATTGACAGGTAACAGTCTGGTCAGTATTTGAATAGTTGAATAAATCTATCAGCCAGACAATACATCATCTATGAGCAAATAAAACACAGCCAAAATAATTGATAGTTGCTGCTATCAGCTACTCACAGATTACAGAAGCAAATGGAAACAGTCCCAATGAAATGCAGACTTAATTTTTTCATCCTTAAAAGGGGATAAAAATTATGTGTTGAGAAGGTGAGTGATGTTGATATCAATAAGAGATGTCAGTTGTTACTTCAGTTGTCATATGAGTGGTGATTTGGCATTGGCAGCCTTTCACATCCGTCAACCACCAGTCTGGCTCTAGTAGTAGACGGGCAGTAATTTTGATCTCAATACATTAAGAGTTTAATATATACCAACAATAACTTAATGCTGCTAGGTACTTTTGTGGTAGGTATGATTGTTGATATGAACATTGATAAATGATCGGAAATACTGGTATCTAGTTTTTATAACAGTAGTCATAGAATGTCTTTCAAATACTTTTATCGAATGAGTTATATATTGATTATATATTTGTAAACAAGTTGAAAGATAAATGGTACGTATGGCAGACATGAGCAGAGTAATCTGTTTCTTACATACCCTAAAATTGCACCTTTTCAGCAATGAAACACATGTATATGTATCAGGGTAGAGACTGCGATCTGGTAGAATCAGAGATTCTACCAGTAGAGATTGCGATCGGAGTCTCTACCAGTAGAGATTGCGATCGGAGTCTCTACTGGTATAATCTCCGATCCTACTAGTAGAGATTGCAATCCCCGATTCTACCAGATTGCAGTCTCTACCCTGACATATACATTATGTGTAAAAGGGACATATAAGGTTTGGTACAAACCTATCTGGCAGACATCTCCATTGAAGCCTGTAGATCTACAGTCACAGACGAATCTGTTCCATCCTTCCAGACACTTTCCTCGATGCATACATGGATGACTGGCACACTGAGGCTCCATACGGTGACAGTATTCAGCAATTCCCTGCGCACGCTGAGCTCTTGCCTTCGCGACCAGGTCAACTTTGTTACCATTGATAACCAAATCTTGGAGACATCCAACAAAGCCATGCCGAAGCATGCCTGCCCACATGGAATGTGGTAGTTTGGTTGAATCATGGTTTCTGCTTATTCCACCTAAGTAGAATATTCCAGACAAGGTCAAATCAACATCTTTCCCATCAGCGTAATAGGACTCCTTCTGTCCGTCAAGAGTTATGTACCCTTGTGGACCCTGATAATCAATGTAAACTTCATGTGGATTGCCATCACTGACTGGATTCCGACTGGCCTTGACCTTCTTTGATCCAGATCCAAGGTCAACAATCATATACAAGTGACCATCCAGCATCTCCACAGCAAAGAAGTCTGTATGTCCATCAGGGCCAGGATTGAACATGATCACACCATTGGATTCTGTTGTCTGGAACTGGAAGGCAATGGAGCCTCTCCTGTCCCTGACGTCCCATGTAGGGAGCGTGAGGATTGAGTTTGGTGATGTGAAGGTTATTGGATGTGATTCCACCAGCTCCTGACACTTGTTGAAGATGACACCACCATGAACTGTTATTAGTCCATGGTCTGTTTTGGCCAGCTCTGTAAGGTCAAGGTCGATAGTGTCGGCCTTGTATCGTACCTGAAAATAACAAGACAAGAAATATCTCACTGAATGTGGCAACATATGATCAAATAATTAGTCCCAGTCAAGTAATTTACAGTTCACAGTGTCATAAACATTTGTAGTTTGGAAGCTTAAAAATGATATCTTATTTTTAACTTTAGTCAAATGTGATTTATCATAAAAATTGAACAAACTGACAACTACACTCAGGTTCGTTTGACTTGAGAGACAACATATGAACTGATTTGCCTCCACACATTTACTGACATGTCAGGCTGTCATCTTCATTGTGGAATACTGTGTTCACTCTCTTTACTGTTCCTTGTGTCTCTTCAGTCATCCTCTATCAGACTTTCAAATATGGATCCCACATTATGTCACCTTTAAGCTGTTGGGGTTTTTATTCCTATTTTCAGAACATTCTCTATACGTAGTGAAGCAAGAGCCTATCGCTAAAATGTCACATCTGTGACAATCAAAACTACTACTGGGGTATGCTAAAAGCAATCAGTTCAACTGAGTCTTAGTCATAAGGATATGTGTCAAATAGTGATGATAAACAGGTTTTCACAAAAGTGTGAGCATATCCTGCTGCACCATCACTAACACATGCAGTGGCAAGTTATGATTACACCTGAATAGTAGTAAGTCCACATACATACGAAGCAGGTTAAGAAAATGAAATTCCATAAGGCATTATTTTGCATCACCGATTCATGAAAAACAGAAAATTCCTCAACATATCTATCATAAAACCTTTCAAAAGCTCTAGACCTTGAATGATGTAGCCCTGATCTTTTGACCAGTTATGGTATGATGATTGTACCCCAAAAGTTATGATGACACCAAAAACTGGAGCATCTGTAATATGGCTCAACTACTAAGGAAAAGAATGACCAAGAAATTGGTAATATAGCTCAACTACTATGGAAAAGAATGACCAAGAAATTGGTAATATGGCTCAACTACTATGGAAAAGAAGGACCAAGAAATTGGTAATATGGCTCAATTACTATGGAAAAGAATGACCAAGAAATTGGTAATATGGCTCAATTACTATGGAAAAGAAGGTCCAAGAAATTGGTAATATGGCTCAACTACTAAGGAAAAGAAAGACCAAGAAATTGGTAATATGGCTCAATTACTATGGAAAAGAAGGACCAAGAAATTAGTAATATAGCTCAATTACTATGGAAAAGAAGGACCAAGAAATTGGTAATATGGCTCAACTACTATGGAAAAGAATGACCAAGAAATTAGTAATATGGCTCAATTACTATGGAAAAGAATGACCAAGACCAAGAAATTGGTATTATAATATGGCTCAATTACTATGGAAAAGAATGACCAAGAAATTGGTAATGGAAAAGAAGGCTCAATTACTATGGAAAAATGACCAAGAAATGACTCAACTACTAAAAAGAATGACCAAGAAATTGGTAATATGGCTCACTCAAAAAGAATGACCAAGAAATACTATGGAAAAGAATGACCAAGAAATTGGTAATATGGCTCAACTACTAAAAAGAATGACCAAGAAATTGGTAATATGGCTATGGAAAAGAATGAAAGAAATTGACCAAGAAATTGGTAATATGGAAAAGAATGACCAACAAATACTATGGAAAAGAAGGACCAAGACCAAACTACTATGGAAATTGGTAATATGGCTCAATTACTATGGAAAAGAAGGACCAAGAAATTGGTAATATGGCTCAATTACTATGGAAAAGAATGACCAAGAAATTGGTAATATGGCTCAATTACTATGGAAAAGAAGGACCAAGAAATTGGTAATATGGCTCAATTACTATGGAAAAGAATGACAAATTAGAAATTGGTAATTAGTCCCTAACTATTACTGAGGTTCTGATTGATTTTGTGACTTTACGATTAGAAAGTCATTCCTTAACTCAAACATGAAGAACAGAACTAAAATATGTTGAATTAGGTCTGTATAAATATGCAAACCCTCTTTAATACCTGTAATCAGTATTACATGGTAAGAACATAAATTAGGTCTGTATAAATACCCCACATCATCTAACAGAATATATCGGGGGAAAATCTACACACCATTCCTATCCATGCAATTTCTCCTTTTGAAGCAAGCCAGAACACAAGACTCAAACAAGTTTGTTTCATACGAATATCAGTTTATCAACAATGCAGGTCTTCGTTTTCATCCACTCTGTGTTCCTGATCAAAACATCTTCAAACATTCTTGGTATTCCAAGATTAATAAACCACAATTATTTCCAAGCAGTCACATGACAAACAATTATATTTTTCCTGTCAAATTATCAATGGCAGCTCTTATTTGTAATTGATAATCTTGAAGGCACACTAAACTGAATTAGAAAAGCTTTTGTTGCAGGATCAGACAGAAATTTGCCAGTTTTAATCATCTTCACTTGAAAAGGTCTTGTTGCACTAATTTCCCTGAATAATATCACATAAATGGTCCGACAATTACACTACATCCCATTACCTTCATAGACTTCCTTCTGGTCTATGCTTGATACCAGTAATGAACAATTACTCCTTCTATCTCGAGAGCAAATCCAATGAGAAGGAAACAATAAGTTTTGGATTATGGTTCGTGGCTACTTAGCTGCCAGAACCAATCTGGTCACCGTGCAACCTCTCAGTCAACAAACAATAATTGGCTTCTGTTCCAGGATAAAACAGTGAACCCTACGACCTTGTCATCTGGGCTATCTCTGCTGGCTCACTGGTGAGGGTGATGAAAAGCTTTGTGATACACAACTATTAAGTCAGTGTCAAGATAAATTACAGATCAATAATTTTCATCGAAAACATTTTTACTTTTAAAATACGATTTTCACAATATTAAAAACTGTGTATTCATATTAAAATCAAGTTTGGAATAGGGCTTTGTTTCTTATTCATATATTACTTATTGAACAACTTGCCTTAACTTTTTTTCAAATCAAAACTATATTTTTTCTTATCAATCCTCATACTCTGACAAAATATATAATTTTAAGGACCTTTTTGTAACTGAGGGTAATACATAATATCTACAGAATATATTTGAAGACTATTGGACATTAAATATACCACCATATTTTCCTTGCTTACTTATAACATAATTTCTCTCAAATGAATTCAAACAATATTCATACAAATATGACGCTGAACAGCAACTTCCATTTGCAAATAACAGGAATATTTTCAAGCTGTGCTGCTTTCACAATCTTGTCATTCAGTGAATGTGAATAATCAACAGAATTCTGCCGATTCCATGCAGATTTTGAATTGTTCAATAGTGTTTGAATTGTTTAAGTTCATGTAAACACTCAATTCAGTTGACTTTGCTTTGAATTATATTCAGAGAAGCAAGCAAAGAAAATGTTTATTCTGTGAAGGATCTTGACCTATTTCACCTTTCAGAAGAGTCTTCATCCATCTCATTCCTGGCATTAGTGTTTCAAATAGTTCCATTTGAATGCACTTGTTAGAATCTGAGTATCAAATGATAAAATATCCAATAGCAAGGAGTCCTCAGAACAGTTTGCTCACAGAAAACATTAACTGAAGGGTAATCTTCATGGTCTGGTAACTTTGTCAAATCTTTGTCTAGACTGTTAATGAAAGTCTTCTTTTGGTAGCAGCAACTGATGAGCGTGTAATGTTATTACCAGTTTGAACTAGATTATCAAACTCAAGTTTACAGATGAGAAGGTTTTGGATGACCAAGTCAATTAGATCGTCCTGATTTTTTTAAAATGCAGGTTCTCCATAGCTAGGTCAGATAATCAGTAAAATATCCAACATATCAGTCATTTTGACAAACATTAGTGGTGCACATGTTTATTTGTCCTCCCATCAGTGGTATGTCCTGCATATGAAAATGATTTTCTGGGCAGAACCATGGATATATCGGTCATCTAGGCAGACATATCCAGTAAATACTGGTCTCCATGCAGTGAGACATCCAGTTCATCTAAAACTTCCAGGACGAGATAGACCAGGTACATCTTGGTCTTCAAAACTTTGATTCACTCACATTCCAGGCAGAGACACATCCAGTGCATATTCATCTTCTAGCCAGAGGCATAACCAGTTCATTTTAGACTTCACTGCCATCAGACCCTGTTCATCTTAGTCCTCAAAGCAGAGATACACCCAGTTCATCTTGGACGTCAAGGTCAGGAGAAGGACCCAGTACATATTGGTCTCCAGACAGACACATCCATTACATCTTCATCTTCTAGGCAGAAGAATAGCCAGTTCATCTTAGACTTTACTACAGACAAACCCTGTACATCTTAATCTTCAAGGCAGATACACATCTAACGTAAGTTGATCTTCAAGGCAAAGATAGTCCCTGTACATCCTGGACTTCAAAGCAGTGATAGTTCTTCAAGGAACACACATCCAGTACATCTTGGTCTTCTATGCAGAGGTATGTCCTTGTCAATGAGTCAGTCTTGCCTAATTGGGTCATTTTGACTTAATTAGATCCTGCATGTCTTGATCTTCTAAAACATATCAATTAGTCCATATTCTAATGAAACTGATTTCATTCTTGCCCCAGAAATTATTTGTATAGTGTTCAGTGTGGAACAGTAAGTCCATACATTTTGGTTTTTTTGTAACAGATTTCCAAAGCATAAGCTGTTAAAAGATATATACTAACCTTTCGCATACATCCTTTGAAGTTCTGGGTGACCCTTGAGCCGACCAGCGTGGCAGTGTTGGGGCTCCCTCCAACATAGAGGAGACTGCTGGACAATAAGGTGAACTGGCCAGTTGTGCTGCCGGACTTTCTATGGACACCATCCACTTCAACTGAGATCTTACAAGCAAAACAGATTTGAGTGAAAATTAGGATAATAATGATTCCATAATTCTTACTTCATTGAAAATGCAGATTCCAACCCATATTAACATTAGGCACGGCATTGTTGGGTGATCTTAACCCTCTTTTTTTATTGAAAGTTCAGCATCTGTAATACTATCTTCAATTGTTCCTGCAAGTTCAACAACTGAATTTTGATTGACAAAGTTTTACTCAAGACATTTAGCTTTGGAGCCGAGAAACTTATTTTTTTCAAATATTGACAGAAGAAACAACAAAATATGGAACCATTTTCTAAAGCATCACCCCTTTCCAGAAATTATAACAGGGTGATGTGGATCTACCACTTTAGAAAATGGTACCATATAAAAATGATGTATGAAGATGATTCCTAGGATGATAATTCATTTATCGCATCAAGCAAGAGCAGCTAAGTTCCTTCTATATTCTATCAGCTTGTGTTATCATTCATGTGTGGATAGTGGCTAACATGATTATATTATATTTATGTTGTTGTTTTTTCTTACAAATATTTTTAAAAGCTGTGTATGTCAAAGGAACAATTTACAGGGGGAAAATGAAAATGAAAGTGCAACTGTTATCTTATTTATACATAACTTATACCTTGGAATTATGGTGATGAATTCACAACATAAATGCATGCAATAAACATGCCTCATTCTGACATGCAAATGAAAAAGTGCCCAGTTTTCTCATGCAATAACCATGAAAACAAATACCCAGTTGAAATAATAGAATAAGATCAGTATCCCCAATCAATAAACAATAACCATTAAACCATCCCGAAAGATAGTAAAAGGACCTGATGAAAGTTTTAATTGTCAAACATTAGACAGTGAATTTGAAACAGAACACCCTGAGGTCAATAGAGATAGGAAGTTTAATAGACCATGTGTCCATGCAAAGATAGCTGTACTGACATAGTCAAACACTCTCAGGTAAGTATTTTGTGTTTCATAAAATCAATTTCAGCAAGCTAGGACACAAAATAGTTCAAATACATATTTCTACTTTGCTATCATAACAGTTGAATAACGAAAATATATTTGGCAATATTCCTATTTTTAACCCACCCAACTGCAATGAAAATTGAATTTGTCTGATCAGACAAACATCATTTATAATTACAGAAGTTTAAACCTGACATGTACAAAGGTACAATTTTATTATACATAAATCTAATCTTCCTCATCTTACCTGCAACGTCATTTCAGAATATGTTTAATATTTTTACAATATAATTACGTATATCATGACAGACAACAATTTTTCATGCATCAGTTACATCGTTCACAATATTTGTTATTTTTATCAATGTTATTTCTTGAAACTATCTCTCAAAATGAGAACCTTGAACAAGACATATCCACTCTTATGATACAGTAGAGAAATGACTGATACTCATTATATTTCTTTTAATATTGAATAAAGAAACTAATGTAAATTTAGGTCACAGAACATATGTCCAATTTGCTTACTTGTACTTCATGCAACAATATGTAATGTTCTAAACAACGTAGACACATCTATGTAGTATTGTTTGAGAAGGCAATCACTGTCAGCCAAATGAAATGTACAACATTGACTGACAGCAAGAGACTATACATAGATGACAACACTGCTGTAGAGTATGAGGTATTATCACCGGAAGCATGAAGAGTCATCTACTTAATACAGGGCAAGCCCGCCAACAAAAATACAGTCCTCCTTTAAATAACGATGGACATGGCTACACACATATAGCCATTTGTGGACAAAACAGGACAAAACATTGGCTCAAAATAAACGGTTGTCAACATAAATGAAAAGGAGAAGAAAGGAGGCAGAACATGTCAGAGAGGTCGATTTATGTTTCCTAACATGGAAGGCCATGATTCATATACAGTACTGACCAAAATGTCCCTATACTACGACTGTGTCACGCCAAACAATAAAACTAGGATGAAAAACAAGTACTGTGCAAATTTTGTATTGTTATCAAATCAACCTTGTCACATGCAATCATAGTGCTACTATTGAAAGTCTATGTTAAGGTATGGGAGTTATGATCACCTGGGTGCTAATTGCATTGTTGTATGTGACCCTATTTATCATAAAGGACAGAGTAATGATATGAGCAAATTAAAGTTTATCTGAGACCATGAAATATGCTGACTCTTTCTGTGACTTAATTTTAACAAATCTTTATGAGTGAAACTAATACAAATTGAAGTCACAAAATTATCCCCTGTTTGAGCAATACTGATATGGTCTTCCATCAAAACCCCTCTCTATTCATAGCAACCATATTCAGATTATGGCATGTCATCTAACACAAAAGCTGATAAATATGACATCCCACATCATTCTTGTGTGTGTGTGTGTGTGTGTGTGTGTGTGTGCGTGCGTGCGCGCGCCACCCCCTTTTGTCCTGAAAGTTTGTTAAATGACCATTGAGACTCTCATGAAAATGGGTGAAAATGAACTGTGCACCCCCTTTCTCAAAAAGCTGTATCCGCCCCTGCCTGAGTACATGTACATGTATCTGCTAGCATCTACAACATGTTCATCTCTCTCTTTCAGTCATACATGTTCTGGAAACTTAGAACCTAGACATTCCACCACATACACAATTACAACCCCTGTTGTAAAAGACCTGTCTTAAACGGCTGCATAAAGTTTGACCTCAACAAAAGTATTTGTCTATGGCTGAAATGATCATAAAATGATTACAACCAAAGTCATCTAGGTTGACAGAAAACAATCATGAAAGATCACCATTGTATTTCCTAATCAATCTAGACTTGTAATTCATGTACCATGCAGATAACGATCTGTCTGAAACCATCTCATCTCTGAACATGTTTCGCATGGAGGCTGCTGAATCCTTGACCTCTGTGAACTGAAACCTAGCTCACTTTCCTTCTTCCTGTGTATGGATATCATGCCAAACATCCATCAACCAGTGCTGGGTGTCCCAGGAGGGTGGTTGTGTCATTCTATACTTCCAATACATTTGTTCATCACTGTTGAGGATGAATCCATAAATGAAGCTAATTCATCTTCAGATCCTGTCAGTGGTGCAACATAAATCATTACATACACACGATACGTTTATCCTTTCAAACAGAAATTAATCCTACATGATCCATAGAATTTACTGATACACCATATTAATATCTATGTGTACAGCCCATTTCAGGTGTTCCCTGCTGTGTTGTTGCTGAAATAATGCTCAAAGCGGCAGAAAACCATTCTCATTCACTCACTCAGATCAATATAATGCAGCTGTGGTCTCCTAAAGTTTCTAATTCATATCAAGCTACTGCTGTAATGTTTGCTTACCTAGGTGTAATGCAATCTAACACGGACATTTGTTATGTTACCATGTGGTTTTCACATGCTACAAGGAAGATGAGGAAACATATAAACTGCCATACCAACTGGTAGGATAGGACAAAGAAGACTTTATCACACTGAATGTATTATTGACACCTCAACAATGCTAATGGCCTATGTGTGTATATATTTCATGCATTTGTACTGGCCTCCGTTTTGATGAAAAGGGGAGAAAATGAGAAAAACATTCATTCACTAGAAAAACTAATTTCACTGATTACCAACTAATGAAACAAAGGCAGAACACAACAAAAATGTAATAATGTTCTTCTTTTTGAGAGCAAAATCACATCTTTATGTCTTTTAATTACATTTTTATAATTAACTTGAAAGAACAGTGCTTCATAAAGCTGCCCAGGGTGATTTAGGTATTCAGTATCGTGTGCTTTCTCCAAACATCAAACAGTCCACCAAGTTAGGTAGTTGGTACCATCACTGTAACTACCATCACTGACAAACTCATTACTGATTCAATATAGGTTCATCGCTTATTTCTCACATCAATATACATTAGCAGTACTACTTAGCATTGTATGAAGATTGGAATTTGTTCTATGTGATACAATAGGCTATAGTACAAATACAACCATAAATATATAATGCTTGTCTTTGATGTAGAGAACTGTATTACCCAGTGATTTAGTTTAATAGAAGCAATATATCAAATTTCAAGTCTAACATTTCCTCCCTTTTTGTATTCAATCGTTCAACTCAAGACATTAATTCAATATTTACACTTGACATTTACTACACAGAGAATCAAGCGCAATTTTAATTATCAACATTATTTTCAATCCTATCATTATATAGTAACAATATACCTTACCTGATTACATCAATTCTGATCAATGCCGTCCCACATTTATCAACAAGATGAATATTTCTTGGCAGGATCATATGACTGCATACATCCCATCAGGTACATGAATATTATCAACAACAATATTTCATAATATCTATTTTAGGTATATCCATAACCCATTTAATCTCACTAAATATGTTGGGACATTATACATTAATCTATATAAGATTGAGAAACATTTAGTTTTTCCAATACCATGCAGTACTGTATTCAGATCGTATGTGATCACAGAGCAAATAGTATGTTTGTAAACATTTCATTAATATGTGTGTGACTGTATCTTGTAAGAATGTATAACTACTGATGAATATTGTTAATTATTTTTTTACTATTAAGGTTTTTTTCTCCAGTAATATCAAAACTATTCAGTACAGCATAAAATTGTGCAAGTTTTTCATCACAGATAGCTCCTTAAATACAATACAATTATTATGTAACATTATGCGATGACATTTAAGAATACCAAATACCAAATTACTCAAAGGTTTAATCACTATGACATTTTATGTACCATTTAAACGAGGAAGCTGTTTTTTTCTAATACCATTAAGTGTCCCCTCCCAGTTCTACAATTACAGTCTCTGTGTTTTAAAAGGTTACTGATTATTGTTATCACAGATACTGTATGCTACTCTCTTGCCTTCAAAACAGTAGGCAAAGGCTCAAAACAATGAACAAGGTTGTTAAGTAAACAATTGAGAAATGTTCATACCTGCATACATTCATTTGTAGAATTGGGTTTAACATATGAACAATTATGAAACACACCCTAACAGTCCCATTAGTTTGATCACTTAACAACAAATTTCTTCGTTGAGAGGTATTTTAGAAGTTGTATAGGTGAAGGAAAACCAAGTTCTATGGATAGTCAACTTGTTTATTGCAATGAGTGCAGCGTTTCGGTGTAGGTACTAACACCGTTATCAATCCTTGTATAGAACTTGGTTTTCCTTAACAAATTTCTTGCAAATTTCTGTCAGTAAAATCATTAAAGAGGTTAAATATATGCACAGAATACAACTTTGATAGGGAAGAACATTATTACTATATGCTAAACATAACTTTTGATTGAAGAAAGACTGTCATCCATACACAAAGAGGTATCAGAGGGGATATCCAGCATTAGAGGTCTCAACAAGCATGGTCAAGGACCAACAATTACAACATTCAACTAGTGTAGATTTCAGTTTCAGAACCTATCTTTACTTCAAAGTAAATGACACTCAACCAATAATACCACGTGAGGCACTTAATTATGGATGTGGCTGTTATCATTAATGAAAATTCAAGAGATCCATAACATAAAGTATATATATGGACAGTTTATTGTTTTTCACAGTATATACTGAGCGTCCTAATACCAATGGGTCTAGCAAATATTAGGACATATTAGTATTGAAAATGACCCACTGCATTTTCAGCTTCCAAGAGTGCAGTTGAGTGGCATATGGAATGAATCATGTTATGCACACATTGACTGTTATAGGTCATGTTTTACAGGTGTATGAGCTTTCAGGGGTATTAGGGGAAGCTATTTCTAGCACCTTATACTTGCACTTTCATCGGTCTTAATAGTAGTTGTCCATTTTCCCAGTTTTAAAAAAAATATCCAATAGTGGAACTTAAACATCAACAAAATATCTTTCAACTGTTAACAAGCTGTGACGATATGCTTGCTGATGTTTCTAATGGGCATCTTGCATAACTACTGTAGTTGACTGACCCGGGAAGATCCGGGTTAGAATTGGTCTTCAGTAACCCATGCTTGTCGTAAGAGGCAACTAACAGGATGGTCAGGCTCACTATCTTGGTTGACACATGTTATCGTATCCCAATTGCGTAGATTGATGCTCATGACGTTGATTACTGAATTGTCAGGTCCAGACTTGATTATTTACAGATCATAGCCACATAGCTGGAATATTGCTGAGTGTAGCATAAAACTAAACTCAATCACTCACCCTAGTTGACTGACCCCTGAAAATGCAGATTAGAATTCTTCAGCCACACATGTATGTAGTAAGAGACAACTTAGCCTGAGGTGAAGGCTGATCAATTGGCACCAGGTGGTCCGTCAAGCTCACTGACCTGGTAGTTACATGTCACTGTATCCTAACTGAGCAGATCGATGCTCATGATGTCATTCACTGGGTTATTTACTGACACCATCACTAAAATAGCATACTGCTGAATACTGCATTAAACAACAAACAAAACCTAGGTGACCCTTCAAGATGCTGCACATACATGAATCCGTTATGAAACACCATACACATACCAATACTTGTTTCATTATTTACTTTTAAATTTAAAAGAAAGTTTAATCACATCCTGTGTTTTCTTTCAAAGATTTCTATTCATTTTCATTTTCACTATAATGCACTTGATAATTATTAATGTACTGTAATTATTTCCCTGGTAAAATCATATAAATCACTGAAATTGACAAATATTTTTGTGGTAATGTTAAGGACTTCTGTAAGACAATATTACAACAATTAATTTTGTTCTGGAAAGTGCCACACACTCTATAAGCAGGACTTGCCATAAGTAAGATTGGCACCACTTTTTTCCTACATCGGCATTTAAAAAAATTCAATTCATTTATGGCTTCAATGAAATTCACAAAGAAGAAAATTGGTGCATGTTTTGAAAAAAATATACTGAATCAAAAGCCTTTTTTATTATTTTGTTTACCAGTGCAGAAGATGTACAGAATCAAGGTATATGTTCTTCAAAAGTGTTTATGTAAAAATGAATTGATTTATCTACTTTTTTTATTGCCACCAAAAGCACATTTAAAGTTTTATTTGAAAAGATGTTTTCACAATAGCATAACTACATGAAACATACAAACTAATGTAAGCATCAGTAAGCAAAGATGATAACTTCAGACTTTAGAGGATTTTTTCCCACTGATTTCAACTTTCACTTATGACCACTGACAAATTCACACAATTCAGTTTATTTCAAACATATCAATATCTTATCAAACAATCTTGCAATTTGCTTTTCAGATTCTTTTTCCAAAAAAGCTGAAATAAAAAAAATTACATTGAGTTAATCCATAAAACATTTAACAAGAAACATCATACAAATCTTCAACATTTCCCAAATGTCAAAAGTTCCTTGAAATGTATGTGATACTTGCAGTTCTTGACGATGTCAATCTGAACAAGACGAACCCCCATAAACCAGCACAATATAGAAAGATAGTTGTTGATTACAATAGGAGGGGTAAACATACAGGACAAGGCGGGTGAAAAGGGGGGCTATACCTATCTACTAGCATGCCCGGGACATGCAAAATTACTTACAAAGCAAACCCCTTTGTCCCTAGTAAGCTGATATTACAAAATTGGAAAAAAAAGATTGCAACAAATAAAGACAAATTATGAAAATCATGTGACAAATTGTTAACGTATCACTCTCTGTGCATACTATGGTATTTGCTTGCCTGTGTCAAAAACTCGTCATGGAAAAATGATCTAAAAACTTGGTTCATTTCAAGAAAAATTGATCACATTCGAAAACTTCACATCATTCTAAAATAAAAATGTCAAACCAATTCTTACATTCTGCTAACATTCCATGCAGGCAAATAAACATATTCTGGCGACTACGGGGAGTCTGATTTTACCATCAGGGTTTAAATCCCGTTTACGGGAACAACCAAGTTCCATTTCAAAACAAAGATAACAAACTATCTCATTCAACAAAGTGTAAACATCTAAGTGTATATAATCAATTTCTTCAAACAAATATCTCCATGCGCTGTTATTCATTTAACTAAGGAGGTGCAGGTTTGTGCAATAGGCATATATAATATAGGGTAGTATAAATGTATCACTGGACTGGAGTATATAGATAATAGATTATTGACACCATGGGATTATGAATGTCAGCATTACCTCCCTTGCTTCTCTTCTGACCACGAGGTGGTGCCAGCGGCCATCATCAAAGCGCACATGACTTGGTCGGACTTCAGCTTCGTAAGCCCCTGAGCCCAGATTGATTGTAACAATTATTCCACCATCTCGTACGGCTACATTCAAGTAATCTTTTAGATCACCTGAAAAACAAGTCGAGTAATTGAAACTTCGATAACCTTTTCACTAGATTTTGATACTATTGCCCTAAGGTGACACTGCTGCTAATACCAAATTATGAATTACTGAATGAAATCTTGTTCTTTATTTCTGTTTTGTTCTAAGCATTTTTGTGGTTTTCAATTTAATAATGAAGCACTGAATGGAATTAATTTTAAATGCAAGTTGGGAGGCATCACACTTGTACTTAGTTGTAGTTAAAAACGGCCTTAAGGCAATATTTGTGATTTTTAAAAATACAACTTGTTAGAGAACTCGCTTCCTTGCAGCCTAGGATCTGACATCAAAACACGAAAGACTGACTGACTGAGTTTGGTTTGACGCCGCTTTTAGCAATATTCCAGCAACATCACGGCGGGGAACACCAGAAATGGGCTTCACACATTGTACCCATGTGGGGATTCGAACCCGGGTCTTCTGTGTGATGAGCCAACGCTTTAACCATTAGGCTACCCCACCGCCCCCAAAACACGAAAGAGGTGAAAAGAAATAAATTAGGACTTACTTATATATCATAGATTCTTGGTTATTATAAGTATATATATTTTGAATTACGGTTTCATTGAAGAATATTTTCTTTTAGTCAGTTTGTCCATCCGACTAGTTCTGACTGACTTTGCCAAAAATACCATAGGAATGGTTCATCCAAGGATCTTAATCACTGGGTTACTGCAAGTGCCTCAGAATGCTCCAACCATTTCAGGGCTTCGTAGTGAAAAAACAGTCATCACATCTTTTTCATGGTTTGGGAGTTACGACATTCGTAACAATAAGATCAAGTTCTAAACCAGTATTTATTAAGTGGCATACAAACTAATGCCAATATAGATCTATTCAACAACAACTTCAGAAATAATTATACATAATTTACTCCATGCAGTAAAGTTGAGAACACAGAAGAGTCTTTATCTGCAGCCTCCTAATAACAGTCTCACTGGTATAGTATTAACACTTGTCACTGATGAATAAGTTGTCAGATGACTGGGACAAAATGAGGATTAAAATACAATCAATATGTTACTTACCTGTGAAAAACAGTATTCCATTGACTTGTTTTGTCCTAAAATCCAACTGCAATTCATCACTGTTGCTGACAATGGGGTCACCTCTACTAACTAGCTCATAACTAAAATACTGTGCTCCCAGGAATGTGGCATCCGATGGAATCTTCTCTGAAAAAGAAATGACTAACTATAGCCACAGTTGTACAAAATCTGAACTTCAAATGCCAAACTCATTATTCATTGGGAAAAATTGAATCACTCTTGTTAAAAGATACCAAAACAATTGAGATAAATTCCCATGAGGTTTACATACATAAAGGCATCTCCATATGTCATTTCATTTGGAACATTAATTTGAAACCTTTTATAGACATGATCGTAATGAAATCTTGAAAAAATATGAAACATATACTAATCAAAAGAAGTTAAAGACCCTCTGTTCTTTCATATCACTATAGTCAGTCAGCACCTAGACAGATGAACTCTAGTGGTATTGAAGAATTAAGTGTTCTTTAGTTCTTTCCAGATATACATTGCGGGTACAGCAACGTGCAGTGAACTTGGACAAAGTACTGTGACTATGTGTCCCAGTCCACCCAGCTGTGAATGGGTACCTCGTTAGGATGAGAAAGCCACAATAACTCGGTGCGCCTAGTGGCTGCAAGAGTTGTATACTCCCCAGGGAGTTGAGATTGATAATACGATGTGCCGTTGAGATTGACATCCAATGATCGAGGGGAAAATACCAGCGCCTTGAGCATGCACTAGTTGCCTGGATATGTGCGCTATATAAATATCCTATAATAATACATTACTGTTTTCTCATGTCAATATTTGCTAATGAATAATCTACAGTTTATGGAGCCATTTTTCAATACATTCAAGGTTCAAGGCTAGTAACCTTGAAATATAAAGGCCAATGATTAGTTGTAAATAAGGAAACATCATCTACAGTTTGTCATCACCATGGTTACACAAATATTTCCATGACCACAAAATGAGTGACAGGCTAATACCGACATGTCTAAGTACCTGAGAATAATGACCTTCCATTACTCCATATGATTCATCAAGGCATCGCGTTATTAATGTGCTGTGTCATACACAGCAAATATATCAGGATAATTACTGAGATCAGTGTCATTAACGTCATTACAGAGTTATTATTAGTGAACAGTATCAGCCACAACTGGCTGTCTCAGACATAACATACAAGTACACCAGACCATATACCAATATAGATATATGGTCTCTGTTTATACAAAGAAACCTGTCAATTAGTATTATGTGTTAGTCTCGTAACTATACAAGTTTATTTGAAGGTTGTTATTGGTTGGTTTGGTGAGTACTAAAATCAGCATTGAACTGGATTTCTAACACAGACAAGCAACAAAAGAACTGTAATTCTTGTTTTGAATGTTTGAATGCACATTGTAATGACTACTGAATCTTGAGTAGCATATGGTATAAATAATTGAACAGAAGCAGCATTTTTGCTTTAATGTTAGTGAATAACAGATAGTATCAGCCTTACTTCCTTCCTCCACACCTGTATGGTAATGTCTGGGGAATACGGAGACTTATCGGTACACATAAAATCATTTATACCATGATTATAAGGTACTGGAACAGCATTTCCACAACCTTAGTTCATTTAAAATAATTATCTGATCATTCAAAACCTTCAATTATCTTTAACAAAAAACATTTCCACAAATTCAATTTTGTTAGCCCAAACTCTTAAACTGCTTTTCAATTTCTAAAATAGCACCCAAAGGCATTAGCCAGTCTTTTTATCTTAGAAATCAAACAAAGGCTTCAAAACTTAGCTAGGCAACAACACTTGACTACACTAACACTATCTGATTGGCTTAGCCAACCTCAAACATACATGAACGCAATCCCTGGTACCTTCATGCCAAAGCATGTATTGGAATTTTCATTCAATTTTCATTTGATATAACGACTGCACCAACTTTGTGGTCAATATTGTCTTAAGCTTTTTAATACTGTACAAGCAGGAGGGAATTCTATGATCAATACCCAACAACAAGTTGCATTAGAAAACCAAGTTTACTGGTGTGTTATTGGTTAGTAGCAAGTGATTTGACCTCAAGGCCTGTAATTAAACATTTTTGTTAAGGACCCTTCATATTGTCATGACATGGTTATCTGTTTCCGTAGCTTTTCTACTTAAAGACTGCCATGGGAACAAAAATGTCCTCGAAAACAGAATTTTAGTCTCCACCTTGAAATACACATTAGGATGAGACTCTTTTTGGAACAAGTGATGTGTATCTTCTATTTTATCTGTATTAACCCTGCGCACATCTCATCCTTCAAATAAAACAAAAAATTCTGAAAATGAGTGGCATCATTTTAGGACAAATGCCCCCTAACTACATATGAGAATGTCTCAAGAGTACAATTAATACCTGTGCACTTTCATATCAACATTATCAGAAGCCCATACAGTGGCCAAAGGAGCTAAGCAATTTCATTGTGGAACCATCGACTATGATTATAGGCACTGATCACCAAACATTACTGAAGGCAGTGTCCCAATCAGCGAACTGATGTAACTGGGAGTGTGGTCTTCCCACGGCTCGTGGAGCAATTCCAACATGGGATCAGCGGTAGTGAAACAGTATTGATTTCCCATGCATCACCCCACTCCCTCCATCTTTCCTTTCCACACTGAACAGATTCCGCAAGCAACGAGTGCCATAACAACAGCAAGATCAATGTGGTTTGAATATTACAGCCTGCGCTTCACAACGTACACGGATGATTTTTACAATTTTCGTAATGATGCAAGCAAGGTTAATGACAGAATCGTTCCCACATATAATAAAACATGAGCCAGCAATGACCTTGACATTCGAAAAAGCCCTTGTGGTATTCCTGGCTCAGAAAACCATTTTGAGGCGCTGTCATGGTGCTATCTGACTTTGGACTGGGTTTAGGCAAACATGAACATATACCCCAAGGCTTTCCAGACACCAGCCTGCAAATACTGCCATGTTTGGTAATCTCGGAAGTAAGAGATGGTCATATTCATACGGTTTCAGCAACTTTTATCACTCATACAAGTACCTCTAGACACTTTTATCTCTTTAAGCCAACACCTCAGAGTAATGCCTATGTCAATACAGGCAATGCTTAATGTAACCAAAATAGTTCAAATTCAGGACTTAAAGGAAATCTCTGCTTTAAGTCAAGTTTCTGCACAGATGTCAAACATGATCTCTCATTTCAAATTTACATTCTGTTAATTGCTTTGACAGTTGGTAATAGCAGAATATGTGAAAAATCCATTTAGCAGTCAATAAAGTCACTTTTTAATCGAAAGGACTACTTTCATGTCTGCAGACTATGATGTGCCCAAAGTATGCATAGTTTGTAGAACCACATTTAACTAAGTAACCAAGTTTTTTGGCAACATTCCTGATTTATTGGCAGCAATCACATCTTCAAAAACTGAAAATCAAGAATAAAAAATGTATTCACTTATTGTAATAATTGTCAAAGGACAGGCACAAGTAAACACCGTTATATGTCTATGCCTCAAAACTAAGAAATGTGTTTCAAAGGAATTGTTTCTTCAAACCAGCATTAGCCATGTCCTACAATCCTTATAAGGATACTCCTTACACAATAATACATATTGTATATGGTCTTGTTCCTTCTTCAATCCCTGTCCTTACTATCTTAACATCTTAAAGACTACAAATCATCAAAGAATGACCGCTTGATGAACTGACATTGACAAGCTATTGCAGCAACTGAGGTAAGTCACAAGTCTACTCAATATCCCTTTATGTCACTGGTCCAATTCAATATCTCATTTGCGAAGATTTCAGTTTTTCTTCAAGCATTTCTAAAAACCTCCCAGATATAAACTGTCCCAGTCAGCATTAACTGAATGACCCATCAACAATTAGGAAATGCTTGATAGATACCAATGTGAATTGTATCTTCTCTTTCAATGAAGCTTTGAATCGAGAAAGCCCTGAAGAACCACTGCTGCCTTCTCATCACACCTTAAGAGCTAGCCATCAATCAAGGACATATAATCACTTTATCAGACTAGGATTCCAACTGTTTCACCATATGCCCTCAAATACAATGGGCATTTAAACACTGGTTGGAAACATCTAAATCATCATTTTCCATTCTCACAGGGCATATCAATGTGGGAAGTTATTATCTGATATTGATTAGCTGACCTGCATGTCACCTTTGTGTTGAAAGCGATTTGCAGTTTACACCTACGGAATTGCCTGGGGTATTGTTATATTATCTCTGAACATGATGATGACGCTTCTATCATAACATTGGATATAAAATTGTTTTTTGAAACTTCAAAGGATCCATGCCAAATCCTCTTCAACTTATCAGTTTTGAAAGCCTCTTACAGCCAAAGTGTTGTCAACAAGCAATATCACACTTTCCTGAGAACCCTGCAGCAATTCACTGAATTGAATAGAAAAAGTTGCTTTTTTACCTCAAATCAACATCCGTCTGTCTCATGGCACTTTATGGACTGAAATATATTTTGATATTTCCTTTCTCCTTTCCAACCAAAACACAATACAAGGTAGTTATCTACCATCTTGATTCTTCACTATAATCTGGTAGCTTGTTGGAGATGGGGAAGATTATACAAATTAATTAAAATCCACAAATTCCACACAAAAAAGATTGCAAACTCAATGCATTTCAAAAATTTAAAAAGATACAAAAGCCTTCCATCCAGTATTATGAAGGGACCTAGCACATATCATGTAGACTCCCAAATGAATATAGTGTCCGGCCAGAGTGAATCAATATATCGTAATGGTTATGAAATAAAGCTCAAGGGATGCATCTTGGATACTCTGCCAAATGTCACCAAACTACCGAACCCTATCTTCAAGATGACGTCAGGAGTCTTGGCAGCAATATGTGCTCCTCTTTACCAGTCTGGGAAACATCATGATGGATATCTTTCAATTTCCTTTCTTCACTTTCTGTCCACATTCAGCATAGCTGTGTATTTTATGACATGATCATTATCAAATGTATTTCAGGTTCTCAGAAAATAGCATGGTTGAATGATAGGATTCATTTGCTAGGGTTTGTGATTTTAGTGAATGTTTCAGTACTCATAAAAACACTAATTGATT